AACTACTCACTACACATGAATGTAAACACAAGCAAATGCAATAAAAGAGACATCATAAGAAAGAGGAGATGAAAATAAACAACTTTTATTGAAATAAGCAAGTGCAAATACAAGAGAGATTAATCCAGGATCTAGGATTCAAGAAGCAAGAGCTTCAAGAACACAAAGATGGATTAGATCTCTAAAAAGTAAAGACAATAAATTAAAAGAAACTAAAACAAAATTAAAGTAAAGCTTGGTGGTTTTTTCGTGGCTTAGAGCCTTTAAATACAAGAGGTTTTAGGTTTAGGGTCAAAGGAAAGTCAAGGGGGAAGCAACAATTTTCGGGTTTGACTGTTGACTTCTCAGCTCGATCGAGTTGAAGCTTGGCCGGTCGAGTTTCGACCGGTTGGTCGAGTAGACGGTCGAGCTGGTCTTCAAGATGGCTTCTCCCTTCTTCCTTTGCGTATCCAGTTGAGCTGCTTCCATGTGCCAAGTCCCTCCATGCTCCTCATGTCCCATATGCTCCAGAATGCTCCAAAAGACCTATTTCAAAGGACCAAACATGCATATGTATGCAAATGCAACCTAAAACTAACATGAATGCATAAGAAGAGAAAAGGAACAAGATATGATGCAAATGGAAAGCTAAAACTATGCAAAAGATGCATAAAAGATGTGCTAAAACTATGTAAAATGCAAGTACATCAACACCCCCAAACTTGAACTTTGCTTGCCCTCAAGCAAACAAATAGAACAAGAAGGGATGAGGTTTGAAAACAGCTGATTCAACACTTAAAAACATGTCCTCAAAAGCGATTTGCTAAATGTCCAACTTAGAGATTCTAGAATGCAACAAGGTGAGAGATATTCATTAAGATTTAACCATGCTTATCAACATCAATCCCACTTCACAGTCACTCAAACAATGCATTCAAATCAGCAAATCCCTTTAACATTCATTAAGCAAAAACAGTGAACCAAAAACATGCAAGATCAATCAACTCATTTGGTTTCAAGGGTTTATGGGTTAAGAGACAAAGAGGGTCTCTTTTGTATGGTGGTTTAGTAACAGGGATCTCTCAAGAAAGTGGCTTTGCTTTGGCAGAAGGCTAAGTGTTAGAACCAAAGATGATGCAAGAACAGCAGCTCGAGCCGCCTAATCCTAACTCGATCGAGTTCAACACTTAGAGCTTTTTAGAACAAAATCCTAACTACCCTTTTTGGCATTTCGCCTTTGAAACTGAGGAGCTTTGCTCACTTTTCTTTTAAGAACTTCCTAGGGAGAGGCTTCTTGAGGTAACATCTAGCGGTTTGGGATTTTCTAAACACTTAGGGAACTTTTCTTTCCTTTTTGGACACTTGAGGCTTTGCCTTCTTTTCATTCTACTTAGAACCCTTTTTACTTTCCTTTTTTAACTTCCCAAACCTTTACTAGACCCTTTTAAACACTGCCAACTCCCTGGACTTAACCAAACTCTTTTTCCTTTGGGTTTTTCCCAACTTTTACCACTTTTCTGGTTTTTACACCCAACTCGATCGAGCTCGAGTTGGCACCCCCAAACTTAGCCTGAAAACAATCCCAAGAGAACTAGACAACTAGAACTACTGCCCCTGCCGGTTTAAACACAACACCTTATGCTAAGCAAAGCCAAGAAAGGTTCTCACATTCGCACAAGAGATAATATGGGGTTTGAAATGAAAAGGCTTAGGTTTAAGGTGTGGTAACTGTCTCAAAGATAGAGATCAGCTATCTGGACAAGCAAAAGGGATATGAAAATAGGTAAAGAATGTCCAGATATGTATGTGGTAGCCATGAGTTGAAATCAAATGCAAGCATTGGTAATTAAAGATCAAGTTATGGTTCAATAGATAGGGAAATGCATCAAATCACAGCAATGGTTGAATGAGATGTGCATGCAGCGATATGATCAAGATAAACATGGTTCTTGCTGCTCAATCAATCTCACCCTAATGCACAAAAGAATCTAAAAACAGGGCACTCAAGAAATCGCAAAAGATGGACAAGTTTTCAAAGTCAAATCAACAATGCAAGTGAAAAATGCAATCCTAAACAAGTCTAACAAATATGAATGCAAAAAGATGAAAATATTTTTGGATTTTTTGAAAATTTTATGATTTTTTTGGTTTTTCTATGCAAAAGATAAATGAAAAACTAAGAACAAAGAAAACAAGGTTAAATCATCTCTTGAACCCTCCCCCAAACTTAAATCACACAGTCCCTTGTGTGAGAAAAATTTAGTGAAAGATTCAAGAGGGCAAAACCAAGAAAAAACAAGAACAAATGCAAGAAAATATGAAATGGTATATACAAGGGTTGGTGTTTGGATACCTCAGTGCCCCCAAAGAACTGGGAGACTAGGTCGTGGTCTGGAGATGGTAGACGGCCATCAGGAGCACTCCATGCAACTGGGTTCGGCTCACTCGATCGAGCTTGTGGCTCCTCTTCCTCCTCTTCTTCATCTTGAAAGTGTGTGGCTTCCTTGGCCTTGGTGGAGCTGGCTAGCTCGAAGCGTTGTAGGGGTCCAGAGGTCTGAGAGAAGTCCTGGTACTGCGTTGATCGTACTCGAACCCAGGATCCTCAAACAGGGGCTCCTCCAGGTCAACTCGACCCTCAGCTCGATCGAGTTGAGTTTCCTCTGCTCGATCGAGTCCGGTGGTCGAGCTGGAGCGTCTGGCCTTGGAACTCTTCCTCCTTCTCTGCGTGTTGTCTTCTCCTTCCCTTGGCTCGAAAGAAGAGGCTCTGTGAGGCTCTTGGGCAGGGAGCCTTCTTGGAGTGGTGAGGAGAGATACTCCTAGGGAAAGTGGGAGCTTGGACTTCTTCTTCTTGCTTGAAGAACCAGAAACTTTCTTCTCCAAACTCTTGATCTTGCTCACCATCTTGTCCATGGACTTTTGCATCTTTCCATGGCTTTCCCTTGCCACTTGTTGAACTTTTGGAGAAGTCCAATCCTCTTGTGGGCAGCCACAACAGAGGGGTTCATCCTTGGAGCCTCATACTCCTCAAAAGTAGCACTCAGGCTCACCCAAATCCGCATTCTCCTGGACTCGATCTTCAGCTTGAGACTCAGCTCGATCCTCAACTCAAACAGGGGTTAGTAAAGATGAAATGGTGCAATCACAATCAGTCAATTCCTCTTAACCATCATAGTCAATGTAGTACAAGAGGTTATCAATCCAAAATGGGAAAACTTGTCACTCTTTGAGAATATGAAACACAAGAAAGTCAAGCAAGCAGTAATAGATTTGAAGTAACACTAACAACCTAAATAAATGAAATGCAATGCAATGAAAGTAAACAGAGCAGTGAAGTAGCAGCTCGACCAAGACTCGAGTCGAGTAGAACAAAGTACCAGCTCGATCGAGTTTAGGGACGAGTTGAGACAAACAAAGCTAAAGGTGACGACTTTAACAAGATAATGCGAGAATTAGGGTTCAAGACAGGGTTTTACAATCAGAGGAATCTACACTTAATCATCCAGCTCTTAAAACTCCTTGTATCAAGGCTTCTCTTGATATTGGGCTTCTCAATGCCTAGCCAACCCTTTCCCAAGGTGAGGTTATCAACCAAGGAATGATCTCAGAAACAGGGGGTTAGCCAGTGAGAATCAAACCTTGGAGGCTAGGATCATTGCCCAAACTAATCCATCCAACCCCTTAGACCTCTATTTTCTAGAGCAAGAGATATTGGAGCTCTTAGTGGATCTTTTCCAGCGAATTGCCATCACTTTCGTGTGGGGAATCGCCTAAGGACTTACAAGCCAGGGGTAGTGGTCATGTAGCCTTAAGATCTATCCAAAAGAGAGAGAATCTAGATTAAGACCATAAGCTAGAAGATTAAGCATATGAAACCTCTAATCTATCCCATCTCAAACCCCAATGGGTAACTACTCACTACACATGAATGTAAACACAAGCAAATGCAATAAAAGAGACATCATAAGAAAGAGGAGATGAAATTAAACAACTTTTATTGAAATAAGCAAGTGCAAATACAAAGCAAATAATCCAGGATCTAAGATTCAAGAAGCAAGAGCTTCAAGAACACAAAGATGGATTAGAGTTGCTAAAAAGTAAAAGACAATAAATTAAAGAAACTAAAACAAAAATAAAGTAAAGCTTGGTGGTTTTTTCGTGGCTTAGAGCCTTTAAATACAAGAGGATTTTAGGTTTAGGGTCAAAGGAAAGTCAAGGGGGAAGCAACATTTTTCGGGTTTGACTGTTGACTTCTCAGCTCGATCGAGTTGAAGCTTGGCCGGTCGAGTTGAGGAACTCGACCGGTTGGTCGAGTAGACGGTCGAGCTGGTCTTCAAGATGGCTTCTCCCTTCTTCCTTTGCGTATCCAGTTGAGCTGCGTCCATGTGCCAAGTCCCTCCATGCTCCTCATGTCCCATATGCTCCAGAATGCTCCAAAAGACCTATTTCAAAGGACCAAACATGCATATGTATGCAAATGCAACCTAAAACTAACATGAATGCATAAGAAGAGAAAAGGAACAAGATATGATGCAAATGGAAGCTAAAACTATGCAAAAGATGCATAAAAGATGTGCTAAAACTATGTAAAATGCAAGTACATCAACACCCCCAAACTTGAACTTTGCTTGCCCTCAAGCAAACAAATAGAACAAGAAGGGATGAGGTTTGAAAACGAGCTGATTCAACATTAAAAACATGTCCTCAAAAGCGATTTGCTAAATGTCCAACTTAGAGATTCTAGAATGCAACAAGGTGAGAGATATTCATTAAGATTTAACCATGCTTATCAACATCAATCCCACTTCACAGTCACTCAAACAATGCATTCAAATCAGCAAATCCCTTTAACATTCATTAAGCAAAAACAGTGAACCAAAAACATGCAAGATCAATCAACTCATTTGGTTTCAAGGGTTTATGGGTTAAGAGACAAAGAGGGTCTCTTTTGTATGGTGGTTTAGTAACAGGGATCTCTCAAGAAAGTGGCTTTGCTTTGGCAGAAGGCTAAGTGTTAGAACCAAAGATGATGCAAGAACAGCAGCTCGAGCCGTCTAATCCTAACTCGATCGAGTTCAACACTTAGAGCTTTTTTAGAACAAAATCCTAACTACCCTTTTTGGCATTTCGCCTTTGAAACTGAGGAGCTTTGCTCACTTTTCTTTTAAGAACATCCTAGGGAGAGGCTTCTTGAGGTAACATCTAGCGGTTTGGGATTTTCTAAACACTTAGGGAACTTTTCTTCCTTTTTGGACACTTGAGGCTTTGCCTTCTTTTCATTCTACTTAGAACCCTTTTTTCACTTCCTTTTTTAACTTCCCAAACCTTTACTAGACCCTTTTTAACACTGCCAACTCCCTGGACTTAACCAAACTCTTTTTCCTTTGGGTTTTTCCCAACTTTACCACTTTTCTGGTTTTTTACACCCAACTCGATCGAGCTCGAGTTGGCACCCCCAAACTTAGCCTGAAAACAATCCCAAGAGAACTAGACAACTAGAACTACTGCCCCTGCCGGTTTAAACACAACACCTTATGCTAAGCAAAGCCAAGAAAGGTTCTCACATTCGCACAAGAGATAATATGGGGTTTGAAATGAAAAGGCTTAGGTTCAAGGTGTGGTAACTGTCTCAAGGATAGAGATCAGCTATCTGGACAAGCAAAGGGATATGAAAATAGGTAAAGAATGTCCAGATATGTATGTGGTAGCCATGAGTTGAAATCAAATGCAAGCATTGGTAATTAAAGATCAAGTTATGGTTCATATAAATAGGGAAATGCATCAAATCACAGCAATGGTTGAATGAGATGTGCATGCAGTGATATGATCAAGATAAACATGGTTCTTGTTGCTCAATCAATCTCACCCTAATGCACAAAAGAATCTAAAAACAGGGCACTCAAGAAATCGCAAAAGATGACAAGTTTTCAAAGTCAAATCAACAATGCAAGTGAATGCAATCCTAAACAAGTCTAACAAATATGAATGCAAAAAGATGAAAATATTTTTGGATTTTTTGAAAATTTTATGATTTTTTTGGTTTTTCTATGCAAAAGATAAATGAAAAACTAAGAACAAAGAAAACAAGGTTAAATCATCTCTTGAACCCTCCCCCAAACTTAAATCACACAGTCCCTTGTGTGAGAAAAATTTAGTGAAAGATTCAAGAGGGAAAAACCAAGAAAAAACAGAACAAATGCAAGAAAATATGAAATGGTATATACAAGGGTTGGTGTTTGGATACCTCAGTGCCCCCAAAGAACTGGGAGACTAGGTCGTGGTCTGGAGATGGTAGACGGCCATCAGGAACACTCCACTCGACTGGGTTCGGCTCACTCGATCGAGCTTGAGGCTCCTCTTCTTCCTCTTCTTCATCGTTGAAATGTGTGTGGCTACCTTGGCCTTGGAGGAGCTGCGCTTGCTCGAAGCAGTTGTAGGGAGTCCAGAGAGTCTGAGAGAAGTCCTGGTACTGCGTTGAATCGTACTCGAACCCAAGGTTCTCAAACAGGGGCTCCTCCAGGTCAACTCGACCCTCAGCTCGGTCGAGCTCGCTGATCGAGTTGGAGCGTCGAGTTTTGGAACTCTTCCTCCTCCTCTGCGAGTTGTCTTCTCCTTCCCTTGGCTCGAATGATGAGGCCCTGTGAGGCTCGTGGGCAGGGAGCCTTCTTGGAGTGGTGAGGAGAGATTTACTCCTTGGTGGGAGTCTTGGACTTCTTCTTCTTGCTTGAAGAACCAGAGACTTTCTTCTCCAAACTCTTGATCTTGCTCACCATCTTGTCCATGGACTTTTGCATCTTTTCCATGGCTTTCCCTTGCCACTTGTTGAACCTTTGGAGAAGTCCAATTCTCTTGTGGGCTGCCACAACAGAGGGGTTCATCCTTGGAGCCTCATACTCCTCAAAATCGTAGCACTCAGGCTCACCCAAATCCGCATTCTCCTGGACTCGATCTTCAGCTTGAGACTCAGCTCGATCCTCAACTCAAACAGGGGTTAGTAAAGATGAAATGGTGCAATCACAATCAGTCAATTCCTCTTAACCATCATAGTCAATGTAGTACAAGAGGTTATCAATCCAAAATGGGAAAACTTGTCACTCTTTGAGAATATGAAACCACAAGAAAGTCAAGCAAGCAGTAATAGATTTGAAGTAACACTAACAACCTAAATAAATTGAAATGCAATGCAATGAAAGTAAACAGAGCAGTGAAGTAGCAGCTCGACCAAGAACTCGAGTCGAGTCAGAACAAAGTACCAGCTTGATCGAGTTTAGGGACGAGTTGAGACAAACAAAGCTAAAGGTGACGACTTTAACAAGATAATGCGAGTATTAGGGTCTAAGACAGGGTTCTACAATCAGAGGAAACTACACTTAATCCATCCAGCTCTTAAAACTCCTTGTATCAAGGCTTCTCTTGATATTGGGCTTCTCAATGCCTAACCAACCCTTTCCCAAGGTGAAGGTTATCAACCAAGGAATGATCTCAGAAACAGGGGGTCAGCCAGTGAGAATCAAACCTTGGAGGCTAAGGATCATTGCCCAAACTAATCCATCCAACCCCTTAGACCTCTATTTTCTAGAGCAAGAGATATTGGAGCTCTTAGTGGATCTTTTCCAGCAATTGCCATCACTTTCGTGTGGGGAATCGCCTAAGGACTTACAAGCCAGGGGTAGTGGTCATGTAGCCTTAAGATCTATCCAAAAGAGAGAGAATCTAGATTAAGACCATAAGCTAGAAGATTAAGCATATGAAACCTCTAATCTATCCCATCTCAAACCCCAATGGGTAACTACTCACTACACATGAATGTAAACACAAGCAAATGCAATAAAAGAGACATCATAAGAAAGAGGAGATGAAATTAAACAACTTTTATTGAAATAAGCAAGTGCAAATACAAAGCAAATAATCCAGGATCTAAGATTCAAGAAGCAAGAGCTTCAAGAACACAAAGATTGGATTAGAGTTGCTAAAAAGTAAAAGACAATAAATTAAAGAAAGCTAAAACAAAATAAAGTAAAGCTTGGTGGTTTTTTCGTGGCTTAGAGCCTTTAAATACAAGAGGATTAGGTTTAGGGTCAAAGGAAAGTCAAGGGGGAAGCAACATTTTTCGGGTTTGACTGTTGACTTCTCAGCTCGATCGAGTTGAAGCTTGGCCGGTCGAGTTTCGACCGGTTGGTCGAGTAGACGGTCGAGCTGGTCTTCAAGATGGCTTCTCCCTTCTTCCTTTGCGTATCCAGTTGAGCTGCGTCCATGTGCCAAGTCCCTCCATGCTCCTCATGTCCCATATGCTCCAGAATGCTCCAAAAGACCTATTTCAAAGGACCAAACATGCATATGTATGCAAATGCAACCTAAAACTAACATGAATGCATAAGAAGAGAAAAGGAACAAGATATGATGCAAATGGAAGCTAAAACTATGCAAAAGATGCATAAAAGATGTGCTAAAACTATGTAAAATGCAAGTACATCAACACCCCCAAACTTGAACTTTGCTTGCCCTCAAGCAAACAAATAGAACAAGAAGGATGAGGTTTGAAAACAGCTGATTCAACACTTAAAAACATGTCCTCAAAAGCGATTTGCTAAATGTCCAACTTAGAGATTCTAGAATGCAACAAGGTGAGAGATATTCATTAAGATTTAACCATGCTTATCAACATCAATCCCACTTCACAGTCACTCAAACAATGCATTCAAATCAGCAAATCCCTTTAACATTCATTAAGCAAAAACAGTGAACCAAAAACATGCAAGATCAATCAACTCATTTGGTTTCAAGGGTTTATGGGTTAAGAGACAAAGAGGGTCTCTTTTGTATGGTGGTTTAGTAACAGGGATCTCTCAAGAAAGTGGCTTTGCTTTGGCAGAAGGCTAAGTGTTAGAACCAAAGATGATGCAAGAACAGCAGCTCGAGCCGCTAATCCTAACTCGATCGAGTTCAACACTTAGAGCTTTTTAGAACAAAATCCTAACTACCCTTTTTGGCATTTCGCCTTTGAAACTGAGGAGCTTTGCTCACTTTTCTTTTAAGAACTCCTAGGGAGAGGCTTCTTGAGGTAACATCTAGCGGTTTGGGATTTTCTAAACACTTAGGGAACTTTTCTTTCCTTTTTGGACACTTGAGGCTTTGCCTTCTTTTCATTCTACTTAGAACCCTTTTTACTTCCTTTTTTAACTTCCCAAACCTTTACTAGACCCTTTTTAACACTGCCAACTCCCTGGACTTAACCAAACTCTTTTTCCTTTGGGTTTTTCCCAACTTTTACCACTTTTCTGGTTTTTACACCCAACTCGATCGAGCTCGAGTTGGCACCCCCAAACTTAGCCTGAAAACAATCCCAAGAGAACTAGACAACTAGAACTACTGCCCCTGCCGGTTTAAACACAACACCTTATGCTAAGCAAAGCCAAGAAAGGTTCTCACATTCGCACAAGAGATAATATGGGGTTTGAAATGAAAAGGCTTAGGTTTAAGGTGTGGTAACTGTCTCAAAGATAGAGATCAGCTATCTGGACAAGCAAAAGGGATATGAAAATAGGTAAAGAATGTCCAGATATGTATGTGGTAGCCATGAGTTGAAATCAAATGCAAGCATTGGTAATTAAAGATCAAGTTATGGTTCATATAAATAGGGAAATGCATCAAATCACAGCAATGGTTGAATGAGATGTGCATGCAGTGATATGATCAAGATAAACATGGTTCTTGCTGCTCAATCAATCTCACCCTAATGCACAAAGAATCTAAAAACAGGGCACTCAAGAAATCGCAAAAGATGGACAAGTTTTCAAATCAAATCAACAATGCAAGTGAAAATGCAATCCTAAACAAGTCTAAGCAAATATGAATGCAAAAAGATGAAAATATTTTTGGATTTTTTGAAAATTTTATGATTTTTTTGGTTTTTCTATGCAAAAGATAAATGAAAAACTAAGAACAAAGAAAACAAGGTTAAATCATCTCTTGAACCCTCCCCCAAACTTAAATCACACAGTCCCTTGTGTGAGAAAAATTTAGTGAAAGATTCAAGAGGGCAAAACCAAGAAAAAAAGAACAAATGCAAGAAAATATGAAATGGTATATACAAGGGTTGGTGTTTGGATACCTCAGTGCCCCCAAAGAACTGGGAGACTAGGTCGTGGTCTGGAGATGGTAGACGGCCATCAGGACACTCCACTCGACTGGGTTCGGCTCACTCGATCGAGCTTGCGGCTCCTCTTCTTCCTCTTCTTCATCGTTGAAATGTGTGTGGCTCCTTGGCCTTGGTGGAGCTGGCTTGCTCGAAGCGTTGTAGGGGTCCAGAGAGTCTGAGAGAAGTCCTGGTACTGCGTTGATCGTACTCGAACCCAGGTTCTCAAACAGGGGCTCCTCCAGGTCAACTCGACCCTCAGCTCGATCGAGCTCGCTGATCGAGTTGGAGCGTCGAGTCTTTGGAACTCTTCCTCCTCCTCTGCGAGTTGTCTTCTCCTTCCCTTGGCTCGAATGAGAGGCTCTGTGAGGCTCGTGGGCAGGGAGCCTTCTTGGAGTGGTGAGGAGAGATTTACTCCTTGGTGGGAGTCTTGGACTTCTTCTTCTTGCTTGAAGAACCAGAGACTTTCTTCTCCAAACTCTTGATCTTGCTCACCATCTTGTCCATGGACTTTTGCATCTTTTCCATGGCTTTCCCTTGCCACTTGTTGAACCTTTGGAGAAGTCCAATCCTCTTGTGGGCTGCCACAACAGAGGGGTTCATCCTTGGAGCCTCATACTCCTCAAAATAGTAGCACTCAGGCTCACCCAAATCCGCATTCTCCTGGACTCGATCTTCAGCTTGAGACTCAGCTCGATCCTCAACTCAAACAGGGGTGTAAAGATGAAATGGTGCAATCACAATCAATCAATTCCTCTTAACCATCATAGTCATGTAGTATAAGAGGTTATCAATCCAAAATGGGAAACTTGTCACTCTATGAGAATATGAAACAACCAGAAGTCAAGCAAGCAGTTATAGATTTGAAGTAACACTAACAACCTAAAAAATGAAAAGCAGTGCAATAAAAGTAAACAAAGCAGTGAAGTAGCAGCTCGACCAAGACTCGAGTCGAGTCAGAACAAAGTACCAGCTCGATCGAGTTTAGGGACGAGTTGAGACAAACAAAGCTAAAGGTGACGACTTTAACAAGATAAAGAGAGAATTAGGGTTCAAGACAGGGTTTTGCAATCAAAGGAATCTACACTTAATCAATCTAGCTCTTAAAACTCCTTGTATCAAGGCTTCTCTTGATATTGGGCTTCTCAATGCCTAGCCAACCCTTTCCCAAGGTGGAGGCTATCAACCAAGGAATGATCTCAGAAACAGGGGGTTAGCCAGTGAGAATCAAACCTTGGAGGCTATAGGATCATTGCCCAAACTAATCCATCCAACCCCTTAGACCTCTATTTCTAGAGCAAGAGATATTGGAGCTCTTAGTGGATCTTTTCCAGCGAATGCCATCACTTTCGTGTGGGGATCGCCTAAGGACTTACAAGCCAGGGGTAGTGGTCATGTAGCCTTAAGATCTATCCAAAAGAGAGAGAATCTAGATTAAGACCATAAGCTAGAAGGATTAAGCATATGAAACCTCTAATCTATCCCATCTCAAACCCAATGGGTAACTACTCACTACACATGAATGTAAACACAAGCAAATGCAATAAAAGAGACATCATAAGAAAGAGGAGATGAAATTAAACAACTTTTATTGAAATAAGCAAGTGCAAATACAAAGAGATTATCCAGGATCTAGGATTCAAGAAGCAAGAGCTTCAAGAACACAAAGATGGGATTAGATCTCTAAAAAGTAAAAGACAATAAATTAAAAGAAACTAAAACAAAATAATCTAAAGCTTGGTGGTTTTTTCGTGGCTTAGAGCCTTTAAATACAAGAGGATTAGGTTTAGGGTCAAAGGAAAGTCAAGGGGGAAGCAACATTTTTCGGGTTTGACTTTGACTTCTCAGCTCGATCGAGTTGAAGCTTGGCCGGTCGAGTTGAGGAACTCGACCGGTTGGTCGAGTAGACGGTCGAGCTGGTCTTCAAGATGGCTTCTCCCTTCTTCCTTTGCGTATCCAGTTGAGCTGCTTCCATGTGCCAAGTCCCTCCATGCTCCTCATGTCCCATATGCTCCAGAATGCTCCAAAAGACCTATTTCAAAGGACCAAACATGCATATGTATGCAAATGCAACCTAAAACTAACATGAATGCATAAGAAGAGAAAAGGAACAAGATATGATGCAAATGGAAGCTAAAACTATGCAAAAGATGCATAAAAGATGTGCTAAAACTATGTAAAATGCAAGTACATCAACACCCCCAAACTTGAACTTTGCTTGCCCTCAAGCAAACAAATAGAACAAGAAAGAGATGAGGTTTGAAAATAGCTGATTCAACACTTAAAAACATGTCCTCAAAAGCGATTTGCTAAATGTCCAACTTAGAGATTCTAGAATGCAACAAGGTGAGAGATATTCATTAAGATTTAACCATGCTTATCAACATCAATCCCACTTCACAGTCACTCAAACAATGCATTCAAATCAGCAAATCCCTTTAACATTCATTAAGCAAAAACAGTGAACCAAAAACATGCAAGATCAATCAACTCATTTGGTTTCAAGGGTTTATGGGTTAAGAGACAAAGAGGGTCTCTTTTGTATGGTGGTTTAGTAACAGGGATCTCTCAAGAAAGTGGCTTTGCTTTGGCAGAAGGCTAAGTGTTAGAACCAAAGATGATGCAAGAACAGCAGCTCGAGCCGCCTAATCCTAACTCGATCGAGTTCAACACTTAGAGCTTTTTAGAACAAAATCCTAACTACCCTTTTTGGCATTTCGCCTTTGAAACTGAGGAGCTTTGCTCACTTTTCTTTTAAGAACTTCCTAGGGAGAGGCTTCTTGAGGTAACATCTAGCGGTTTGGGATTTTCTAAACACTTAGGGAACTTTTCTTTCCTTTTTGACACTTGAGGCTTTGCCTTCTTTTCATTCTACTTAGAACCCTTTTTACTTCCTTTTTTAACTTCCCAAACCTTTACTAGACCCTTTTTAACACTGCCAACTCCCTGGACTTAACCAAACTCTTTTTCCTTTGGGTTTTTCCCAACTTTTACCACTTTTCTGGTTTTTACACCCAACTCGATCGAGCTCGAGTTGGCACCCCCAAACTTAGCCTGAAAACAATCCCAAGAGAACTAGACAACTAGAACTACTGCCCCTGCCGGTTTAAACACAACACCTTATGCTAAGCAAAGCCAAGAAAGGTTCTCACATTCGCACAAGAGATAATATGGGGTTTGAAATGAAAAGGCTTAGGTTTAAGGTGTGGTAACTGTCTCAAAGGATAGAGATCAGCTATCTGGACAAGCAAAAGGGATATGAAAATAGGTAAAGAATGTCCAGATATGTATGTGGTAGCCATGAGTTGAAATCAAATGCAAGCATTGGTAATTAAAGATCAAGTTATGGTTCATATAAATAGGGAAATGCATCAAATCACAGCAATGGTTGAATGAGATGTGCATGCAGTGATATGATCAAGATAAACATGGTTCTTGTTGCTCAATCAATCTCACCCTAATGCACAAGAGAATCTAACCCCTTACTACTGTGGTGAGCTCTGGGTTGGGCAGGAGAAGCTTGGAGGTCCAGCCGTGGGGTGTGTGAACTTGAATTGGAACCTCCCATCCAACTCCTTGTGCTCAATGAGGAGGTTGGTCTTGCAAAACTTGATGTCCATCCAACCCTGGAGTTAGACCTTCTCTTGTCAGTTGGACTCCTGCTGCACAAAGATTGGTGTGATCACCCCTCCAACACTTAGCTTTCCTTCCCTTTGGTGCCTAGTGTTGTAGGCTGTGACCTTGTAGGCTTGAGAGCTGCTCAAGGAGAGGCATGAGTTCCCTGCATGTGCCCTATCTCCTCTGATCTTCTTCCCATCCTTGTGCGTGAGATGATGGGCTTGATTCCCATGTCAAGGAGCTTCACTTCTCCCTCATTGATTGTCCAGTGGCTTTCCTTGCAAAGAAGGTGTTGGCAAGAGCCTTGTGGACATATCTCAAGCACAGGACTTCTGATCTGGCAGCCTTGGACCTTGAGGAAGAGTACCCCTCTTCAGCGATTGTAGCCCATACTCTTTGGAGTTCATCTTCCTTGATGTTCCATAGGTTCCTTCTCCATAGTGAACCCAAACAGTATCTCAAGCTGCCTAAAGGTCACCATCTTCTTCTCTCCCTTGCCAAGAAAGTTATGTACCCCCAGCCTTGGTCCAACTCAGCTCGATCGAGCTCATCAAATTGTGATACCTCATTGACCAAAAACTCACAAGTCAGCTCCTTGTAAGACTCCATGCGGTGAGAGAAGAACTTCCAATTGCATGTTCTTGAGCACCAACTCCACATCCTCAAAGATCCCAAGGCCTCTCATGGTGTCATCATGTGGGTACTTGGTCTCCACAAAGTCCATGGAGAAGAGAGCATTGTAGTGCTCTTGGTACATGGGGAGCTCATCCTTCTTCTGTGCTCAGCCTCCTCCATGGCTCATCTTGGTTCCCTCTTGTCACTCTCATCAACCAATTGGTTCACCTCTTCTCCTTCCTCTTCACTCTCAGTCTCATCACTTCCTCTTTGGAGAGCCATTTCCCCCTCTTGAACAAGGTTCACTCCAATCTCAAACTCCCCTTGCTCACTCTCACTACTATGGGTCATTCCTCTTCTTGGTTCTCCTTTCCTCCCTCAACCTCTCACTCTCAGACTGCTCCTCAGAGTAGACATATCCCCTGTCATCAATCTCTGGTTCCTCCTTCTGATCTCACATCTCCAAATCCTTGCATCTATAATCCTTTCTCTCATTGCTTGCTTCTCTCCTTTCTCTTGTGAAGCTGCGGCTTCCCTCACTCTCAACATCTTGAACTTGTTGCTTCACTAAAGTACCTGAAATGCATCAAAAACTCAAAGAATTAGAGTTGCAATGATCGGTTTGGTCAACTCGACACTCAGCTCGATCGAGTCAAAAAACTCGAGTGACAAACTCGATCGAGTAGGTGAAAACAGAGTATAACCGAACCTAATTCAAATTAAGAGCTGGAAAGGATGCTAATCAATCAAATTGAACCAAGAACACAAGTAAATGGAACAATGAGCAATTCTAGTGAAGCTAGCATCTTAACCAATACCAAACTCAAATTCAATTTCAAGCACATGCAACAAGTTCTAATGAAAAACAGAGGTGAGGTGAGGCAAATTCACAAGATTATACAAATATGAAGCATAAGGAAAGCAATTACTCAAGAACAAGTCCACAAGGGACACATGCAATCAAAAATCAAAGAGGAAACAAGCAATAGAGAAATCGAGATGAAGGAATCAAGGGTTTTAGGGTTCATACCTTGCTTGAATGATGGAAGAATCACAGAACTAGAACTAAAGCAAACAAGATGAGAACAAGAAATCGCAAAAACTTAAGAGAGAAAGAGGAAATCGATTTTTCTTGTGGTGAGAGAGAGAGAGAGATGTTTCAGAAATTTAGGGTGAGGGAGAGTGGATTCGATCGAGTTATGGGGAAGAGGGTGTTTGAGATGTGTGGTTGAGATTAAAAGATGAAATAAAGAGGGAACAAAAGCTAGGGATTTTTCTGATCAATTAGGGTAGTGGGGGACCAAAATCAGCTTGTGGGACCCACTCCCTTGACCAAGAAAACGGTTATGAATTTGAAATTCAAAAACTTACCTCGGTCGAGTTGTGAACTCGATCGAGTTGCCCTGGTTTCTAGCTCGATCGAGCTGTCGGTCGAGCTGGCTCCTTTGACACCTAAACTTAACTTATTGAAAGGTTAAAAACATAAAGATAGATAGAAATTGCATAAATAGAGTATGTACAAGGATAAACATGGGACTTCCTCCCAAGTGAGCTTGTTTAAGGTCCCATAGCTTGACCTTTACCTTCTTAGGCATTGGTTGAGCTAGTCCCACCATCAAGGGTGATAGTGAGGACTTGAGACAGAAGCTCCTTTAGCTTGGTTGGGTCCCTGGACTGTTCTGAAGTCACCAAGGCCTTGGCTCTAGAGAATGGCCTTGATCTCCCCTTGTACCTTATCTTGTACTCAATCTTCCCATTTTCAAACTTGGTGGGGAACAAAGTCATTGTGAGCTGAGATGGCTTGACTGAAGGGGCCTGAGCTGGTGGATCCTTTCTTTTATCTCCTGGTCTTGCCTTAGAGGCTGCATCCTCCCCTTCTTTTAGAGCCCTTCCTAGTGGCTCATCAAACAAAGCTTGAAGGCTCTCTTCATCAAGCACACAAGGGGCTTGAACAAGTCTCAGCTCTTGGCCTATCAGATCGTGGTTTCTCAACTCTAGCCCTCTCAAGACGTGGCTTCTCAATCCTTGGTCCTCTCTCATCCTTATCCTTCCCAACTCTTGGTTCCTTGTCAACCCTTTCCTTCACAACCTTTGTAGCTCCATGACTCTTAGAACTGAGATTGGTACTGTCAATTGTGGCACAAAAGTCTGAACCTCTAGGCTGCAAGCGATATGACACCAAACTATTCACCTTGTGAAGGATCACTTCTTGCTTGTGAAAGTCTATTGAAGCGCCAACTGTACTAAGGAAAGGGGTTCCCAATAACAGAGGTAATCCTTCTCTTCTTCCATTTCCATCACAGTGAGATCAGTTTGGATGATGCATTCTCCAATTTTCAAGTGATAGTTCTTGAACACTCCAAGAGGAGACTTAGAAGTTGCATCTCCAAACATGATTGAAGTAGTAGGGCGCTGCAAGGCTCCAGCAATGCCTAGCTTCTCTGCCATGGAGAGAGAGATCAGATTGATGCTTGCTCCAGAATCCACTAAGGCATTGTCAATCTCAAGATGCCCAAGTGTGCAAGGGAGAGTGAATTTCCCTTGATCCTTGACCTTTGGTAGGAAGGTGGGTGAAGTAAGCAGGTTGAACTGATGAGTAGACTCTTGTAGGACCTCTGAAACTTTATCACTGTTGGCTAGAACATCCTTGACCATTTGCATTTGATCAAATGCCTCACTCATGCTATCCATAGGAGGCAACTCAATTCCAATCCCACTGAGATCTCTTCTGAACTTGTGAATCACTTCCTTGTGACCTTGACTAAGTAGGCGAGACGAGGAAGCGGCAACCGGTTGGTAAGGATCAAGCAAAACAGGCTGTCGGACAGAAGAGGTCGGACTCGATCGAGCTAGAGTTGGACTCGATCGAGCTGCCGATCGAGCTTGTGTGCGAGCTCAACTGGTGAAGTGTGAATGGCCACAGTAGGTGCCTGCACTTCTGGTTGATCAATCTGGACTCCAGGAGCCTCAGCAGCAACAATCTCTTCATCATTCAGCAGTAAACAAAAATCTTCAATGACCCTTTCTTGATCCTCTTCTTCAACAAGTCCTTCTTGAGTGAAGATGACCTTGCACTGTTCCTTGGGGTTCTGAATAGCTTTACCAGGTAGTTGTCCTTGCTTTGTAGCAGCAGCAACAGAAGAAGCATGATTCTCCAGAGAGTAAACCCTTGTGTTGAGGTTCTCGATCTTAGAGTTTATTTCAGCTAGCTTCTTGCTTGTGTCCACTACCCCATCAGCTTGCCCTTGAAGTAGTTGCTTTAGCATTGCCTTGAGCTCATTCTCTTGTGAAGGTGCAGGCTGGGGCGGTTGGTGGGGGAAGCCTGGTGGGATATTCATTTGTTGTCCAGGGAAAGTGCCTTGTGGTCCTTGGTAATTGTTCTTTTGACCATACCCATGTTGTGGCACCTGACTCGATCGAGCTGCTTGTTGTTGAGGATATACTTGGTCCTGAGGGTTAGCAACATCAGTGTTGCGGTATGACATGGCAGGGTTGGACTTGTAATTATAGTATCCTTTGTTGTAACCTCCTTGCCCATTGCTCATGTAGCACACCTCAGCAAATTGTGTATCCTCCCCTTCTTGGACTGGTTCCATCTCCTCAGCAGACACAAAGTTGACTTTCTTCATTGTGGACTGAGCTAGGATCAGCTTATCCAACTTCTCATTCAATGCCTTAACATCTTTTCTCAACTTTTCGTCTGACTCGATCGAGTGGTGGGTCGAGCTCCGGTTGGTGCGATCATACTCTTCTCCATAGCTTCCATTTGAGTTAGCTATGTTCTCCACAAGTTGCCAGCCATCATCTACATCCTGGTTGAGGAAGTTCCCATTGCTAGCTGTGTCTAGCATCTCCCTATACCTAGGCAAGCATCCTCTATAAAGAGTGGAGAGTAGTGATTCATTGTTGAATCCATGGTGTGGGCACTGACTTGTGTAGCCTTTGAACCTCTCCCAAGCCTCTGCGAATGTCTCATTGTTTCGCTGGATGAAGCTGGATATCTCTCCTCTAAGCTTGGCTGTGCGACCGGTGGAGAAAAACTTAGCAAGAAAGGCCTTCTTGCATTCATCCCAAGTGGTGATTGTGCCATGGGGCAAGCTCTTCTCCCATTGGTGAGCTTTGTCAGCTAGAGACATAGGAAAGAGTCTCAGCTTGATGGCATCTTCAGAGACACCATTGATCTTTGTCAAATCACAAAGCCTATCAAACTCATCAAGGTGGTCAATGGGGTCTTCACTTGGCAATCCATGGAACATCTTGTTCTGGACAAGGTTGATCATTCCCAGCTTGATCTCAAAGTTGTGGTTCTGCACTGGTGGTGGAACAATCCCTTGTCTCTGTTGGTGGCGGTTTGGAGCATCTCCTTGACCAATCGGTCGAGTTTGCCTAGCTCGACCGAGTCCATTCCCAAAGGGTTTCCATTCCCCTCTGGTACATCCATTGTATCAGCAACAAGCACCTCAGGTTCCTCTTGTACCCTCTGTGACCTCTGAACCCTCTTTCTACCCGTTGTAAGTCTAGCTCGACCAAGTCCTCAGTAGACCGACTCGATCGAGTTCGCATACACCTGCAAAAAGAGACAAAAACCCAGCAGTACAATAGAACAGGGGTGGTATAGCTTGATCGTCCAAGTGTGTTTGAAACTCAAATGCAACAAAAATATTCCCAAATCGGCAACGGCGCCAAATTGATGATAGGATTTTGTGTGGATGTGAATGATATGAATGAAATGAGATGAGGTGGAATGCAAACAGGGTAATAAAGATGAAATGGTGCAATCACAATCAATCAATTCCTCTTAACCATCATAGTCATGTAGTATAAGAGGTTATCAATCCAAAATGGGAAACTTGTCACTCTATGAGAATATGAAACAACAGAAAGTCAAGCAAGCAGTAATAGATTTGAAGTAACACTAACAACCTAAAAATGAAATGCATGCAATAAAAGTAAACAAAGCAGTGAAGTAGCAGCTCGACCAAGACTCGAGTCGAGTCAGAACAAAGTACCAGCTCGATCGAGTTTAGGGACGAGTTGAGACAAACAAAGCTAAAGGTGACGACTTTAACAAGATAAGAGAGAATTAGGGTTCAAGACAGGGTTTTGCAATCAAAGGAATCTACACTTAATCAATCTAGCTCTTAAAACTCCTTGTATCAAGGCTTCTCTTGATATTGGGCTTCTCAATGCCTAGCCAACCCTTTCCCAAGGTGAGGCTATCAACCAAGGAATGATCTCAGAAACAGGGGGTTAGCCAGTGAGAATCAAACCTTGGAGGCTATAGGATCATTGCCCAAACTAATCCATCCAACCCCTTAGACCTCTATTTCTAGAGCAAGAGATGGTCTTCAAGATGGCTTCTCCCTTCTTCCTTTGCGTATCCAGTTGAGTTGCGTCCATGTGCCAAGTCCCTCCATGCTCCTCATGTCCCATGTGCTCCAGAATGCTCCAAAAGACATATTTCAAAGGACCAAACATGCATATGTATGCAAATGCAACCTAAAACTAACATGAATGCATAAGAAGAGAAAAGGAACAAGATATGATGCAAATGGAAGCTAAAATTATGCAAAAGATGCATAAAAGATGTGCTAAAACTTTGTAAAATGCAAGTACATCATGTTCGTGGTCTTCACACTTCTATTGTAGTCAGGGCAGGCATTGGCATCACTAGCAGCAAGATTCTCAATCAAAAGCTTTGCCTCCGGTACCGATTTGGTCATGAAGTCACCATTGCTCGCAGTATCGAGTGAAAGCTTGTATTTGTGATCCAATCCCATCGTAAAAGATGTTCCAAAGATTATCTTCTGAAAATCCATGATTGGGAAATCTCCTTGTATACTCCTTGAATCTCTCCAAAGCTTCATAGAAAGACTCCATTGATGCTTGCTTAAAACCAGTAATCTTGCTCCTTATAGAGTTTGGATCTTTGCTTGGTGTAGAATTGGTTTAAGAAAGCTCCCTTGTATTCATTCCATGTTTTAATGGAATGAGGTGGTAGAGACTTGACCCATCTAAGCGCCTTGTCACTTAGAGAAAAAGTAAACAACTTGCACTTGAAGTAATCCGGAGACACTCCATTGATGCGAGTTGTGCTGCATGATCAAGTAGATGTTCAGTGGGCAAACCATGGAATTGGTTTTGCTTCACCAAGGCAGTGATCTGCGGCTTGATCTCAAAGTCGTTCCTTGGAGGTAGAGGTGGTCGGATGGGATTCTGATCCATAAAGAAAGCATCGGAAGAATCAAAGTCTCCCATAGTTTGGTGCCTTGGATGTTGCACGAATGGTACTCTCCTTAGAGGCACTTGAGGCTGAGCTTGAGGCATCCCTTGATGGTCACCTTGGTGATGATGATGGTGTCCATCATTTTGGAACACCAGGGGCGGTTGTGGTTGATTATGAGGTGGTTGCGGTTGCTCGGCTGCACCGTGAGCGTTCTGATTGGATTGAGGTGCGGCTCCGGCTGGTGCTGGCTGATTGGCTCCAGCTTTTTGTGGTATAGGAGGGTTATCAGCCCTCTCTTCTTGGTCAGGCGGCTGCTGCTGCCTATTTGGTGCGGCTTCTCCGCCTTGGTTCATCCTTTCTCTTCTTAGTCGCCTAAGTGTTCTTTCAAGCTGGTCAATGTCAAGATCTTCTTCTATTGAGTTGTTTGGATTGGACCTTCTTGTCATACACCTAAAAGACACACAAAGAGAGAGTTAAGTAAAAAATTTATGGGTTTTTAAGATTTTATGGACAACAAAAACAAGAAAAGCAATTAAAAGTAAAGAACTAGTCTTGAACTCAATCAAGAGGTGTGAAGGAAAAGCTATCCTCCCCGGCAACAGCGCCAAAAACTTGATGGCAGCTAGGTTAAGCTTCAAGTAATACAACTTATAACCCAACTAAAATGAGCTGTAGTCGGGGTCGAACACAAGGAGGAAGAGTTCCCACTTAACACCTTTTGAGATTGAAATCGAGCTAGTCCACAATATGAGTGAAGTTGGACCTAAAATAATTAAGAAACAAAAACAAAGACAACATGTAAGTGAGGTTGTAAACAATTTAAAACAAAAGTTAGGCAAAGGATAATCATATGGAGCAAGAGATGAGATAATAGTTGCATGGGATAAGTGTAAAGCCGTCTTGAACATGAATCACTAGTTTATAGTCTTTCTACTGTCGTGGCTCCAACCACTATGTTTCAAACAACCTAATATACTTAGCTTTCGTTGGCTATTAGTATTGCAAACATGCATTAAAGGTGATCAAGATTCAATTGTTCACAATGGTCCATAACTCAACTTTCTTTGGCTATGACCCATTGCTCACCAAATACTAGTTTCGAGATTTAGATTCAGCACTGTCGTGGTTCTATCTCTCTAAGATCAGATTACTAGATGTACGGTAAAGTAATCATGCGTTAAGTTCAAGTAAAGGTGAAGATCCATGATATAAAATCCCAAGTAATTTGCAACACAATCAAGAGATCTACTCAGCCATGATGCGAACAAGCAAGCAAGCAAAGCATGATTGAAAGCATTAGGCAAGTATAATAAGAAGTAAAGGGATAAAAGAAATCTTCTCTATTGAAGAAACAGGTCGGATCTCCCTTAGAACTCTCGATCTCAAGTACAAAAGAAAATGGAAATAATCAAAACAAGCGATGAACTAGTGTAGAGTCGAGCGGCGCCCTCTTCTTCCTAGACCACGAACTACTAGGGCTTCTCCTCTTCTTTGGCGGCTCCTCTCTTCTCTTGAATATCTCTCTTTAGACACACACACACACCACCTCTTTCTTCAGCGGCTAAAAACAGGTATATATGGGCAAACTCGGGTAGGGTTTTCTTCATACCGGAAATGGAAAGGTTCCCATGAGCCGGGCCCTTCTCTCACGTGGTGTATGGGCTGGGATTGCGCCAAGAAAGAATCCAAACATTATCTAGGCTTCTTGCTTAGTGATCCAAGGCCTTGGGCGCTGTGTCTCGGGCCTTTAGACACTCCAAATTCTCCATGGGTTCCTCTTGGGCGTTAACCGGACATGTCCCGGTAGAAACCAAGTTATAGCCTAATGGTTCATCCAAATGCCTTCATTACACTTCGACGTGATGCATGACTCAAGTATCTAACTTTCCATATAAAGATCGTGACTTTTGGACATAACGCCTCCGTTCGCGGCAAAACTTCCAAAGCTTCGTTCTGCTCGTTCGTTCTGTTCGGTAACGAGAATTAGCACTTGGAGAAAAATGATGCTCTTGACTTGGAAACTTGCATAGAACTTGGTTTGAAACCCTTTTGCTTCTTTTTGCATCATTTTTGATGGTTTCACCTACAAAGATTGCAAATCCCACAAATACAAGAAAGCTACCTCTAAAGGCAAAAGATCTTATAAAAACCGTTTGAAAACATAAATAAATGTTAAGTAAAAGCAAGTAAAATATAGTGATATCAGATATGTGTGGCTCTAGACCATATGCCAACTGTATAGGGGAATATTCATTATATGCACTTTGCCTCATCTGCCAATGCTCCAGCATGCAATATAGCATGTCCTCATACAGTGATTGAGATTTTTGTTCTCAAGATTAATGGTCTTGCAATCAATTGCAATCGCTTAATCAAAGACTCAGCCATGCCATTTTGAGTAAGAACATGAGGAAACAGATGTTCAACATCAATTCCCATTGACATACAATAGTCATTCAAGGCCGCTGAAGTGAATTCACCAGCGTTATCAAGTCTTACTTTCTTTATGGCATAATCAGAGAAGTGAACTCTCAACCTGATTATGTGGGAAATGAATCTTGCGAAAGCCATATTCTTTGTGGTCAACTAAAACCGTAAAATATCTAAATGGTCTGCATGGTGGGTTAATCGGCTCACATATATCACCATGTATTCTTTCTAGAAATACAAGAGATTCATTCCCAACTTTGGCTGGCGAGGGTCATGAGTTTTCCTTGAGAACATGCAATACACGAAAACTCTCCCGATTGAAAAATATTTTGGTTTTTCAATGGGTGGCCACTCGAGTTTTGTATGATCCTTCTCATCATGACTGAACCTGGGTGTCCTAATCTTTCATGCCACACCCTAAATGTGTTAGTAAACTTCTCGTTTACCATAACATATGATTCAGTCATATTAATCTTTGTACTATATAATCCAGAATACATCATTGGCAATTCTTCCAATACATGTTTCTTTTCTGTAGTAATGCAAATGTTTTCAATGTCGTCCTTATTCATAGTCTCTATATGATATCCATTTTTTCGGATATCCCGGAAACTTAATAAGTTCCGTTTAGACTTGGGGGAATATAGTGCATCTTGTTCCCCTCGGCATAAAAAACTTGCTTTTCCAGATCTAAGTATAATCTTTGCATTACCAAATACAGTATTCACACTTTCAGCAGAGACATTCATTTTGAGACCGGAGAAATCCTTTTGATTTTTAAGTATTGTGTGCGTTGTAGCACTATCTACTAAACATACATCTCCATCCAAAGTCTCAGACTTTAACATTTTCTCTAAACTAGAAGAACGGAAAAGTAACGGTTATACTTTGGTGTATATGAGCGGATAAACGGACAGAGTAACGATCGGTCTTCAAAGTATATAAACAGATAGAGGGGCAAGCGATCGTGCTGATAACGTGTTGTGAATAATACTTTCTTTATTGATAAACTATATTTGTGTTATAGACAAGATCAATAGAAGATCAAAGAGAGTTTAAGGTGAGAAAGAGATGAACAAGAAGTAAATAACTTTACAGAAAGAAAATGAGAGAGCAAAAATTATTCTCTTATGATATTATCACATGAAGGCTTAGGCCGTGTTCTTTAATCAGTCGCAGCGGCTGCGATTGCGACAGAGGAAAACGACAGCAGTGACATGGAGGAATAAAGGTAAACGACAACCAAGGGCCTGAAAATAACAACTTCGCTTTAGTTACAGATAGCCGCCGATGAGTCACGACGGCATCAGATGACCGCTGAGAAAAACAATAGCGACTCCCAATCTTCCTCACATTCATCATCTGCGACTGTTTTCCTCTCGTTTTCCTCCCAGTAATGTGTTTTCTTCTCTTTGCCAAAGCTATTTGTCTCTGTCGCAGTCGCAGCCGCAGCGGCTAATCAACGAACATGGCCTTAATCATTTCACTTAGAAACCTTGCTTAGTGTTGTACACTTGGATGCTAACTAAATTGGCTTAGTGTCTCTGATGGTTACTCATCATTTCACAATAGATAATGTATTTTGACCTTTCTCTCTCTAAAACCTTTGTTCTATTGTTGTAAGTCTTTTTCCTCTTGACCAGATCTATTTTTGGCCACACTCCAAATCGACCATCCTCTCCGCTTGCCTACTCTTCGGGGTTTGGCAGAGGCTGTTCTGGCGGCGTCTTATCGTCTCCTCCACTAGATACTACCTACAGATCTGGTAGAGATCTGGTTGGGTTCCGTTTGCTCCAAACCGGTGTTCATTTTCCGGCTCCGGCTTCTCTTAGGCTGCTTAACATTGATGGTTGGGCCTTGTTAGTCTTTCATGCTTATGGTATTTTTATTTCTAAAGTATACTTTTTCCAAGAGAGGACAAAGGATTAAAAGCTTGTCTTCTTCTCTCTTTTAGATCTGGTGTTTAGATTTTGAAATTTAAGACAATTTTAATTTGCTCTAGTTTGTTTTCATGTTTTCTTCCCGTGTTTGGGTCTTGTTTCCAGGGAATTAAAACTCTTTCGGCCAGCTATGTTTCCGGGGAATTAATTCACTTTCCCCCAACTTTGTTTCTCTTTTTTTTTTGGCTTTGTAAGTTTGGTTAGGTGTGTAACACCATGTAACAGTCGCTTTCGAATAAAATTTCTGGATGGAAAAAAAAAGTAAGATAATGTATTTTCAAATAACCTTCAAATCCCAGTCTAATTTAGAGCTGTCAGCCCAACCCGAAGCCCATGGGGCAAGCCCATTTGAACAACAGCGAGGTGGGCTCGGGCCCATAAAAAATGTTCGCAAAATTAGCGGGTTTAGCGGGTTAGGGCCATATGGGCATTTGTTTCAGGCGGGTTAACCCGCTGCGGTTTTGCGGGTTAGCGGGCAAACCGACTAAAAATCATCGATTTCCGACATTTCTTCGACTTGTGTTCTTCTTTCTCCTCCGAATAGTCCGAATCCACACAAAACATGCATGATTCAGCACACATCGTACCTCACGCAGGTTGAATCCGTTGAGCTCTAATTGATGGATCCTTTCGATTCTTCCATAATCAGCTCATTCCTCATGGTCTCTCTATTTTCCTCTTTTTCTGTTCTCTTTGGCTCATTTGGTTTTTCCTGAGTAATTAAGTGATTATGCTCATGTTTTTGCAGGAATTGGGTGGTCTTAGCATCGAAACTTTAATTACTGAGGTAAATTGTTCGCTAGTTTTAGTTATGATTGGGATTTTGAAGACTAATTTTGAGTTAGAAAGCTCAAAGCTTTTGTTAGAATGAAGAACAGTAAGATTGTTGTGTTCAATCTCTGATTTGTTGCCACTGCCTTCGTTTCTTCTTCTTTTCAGGAAGAGATTTGTGTCCACAAGAGATCCTCCGACGTCGACGCATCAATTAGTCTCCGAATGGACATTCCACCTTCATTCAATAATCCTCCGCTCCCGACGACACAAGTGCAGGAGAAGCTGCGCGGTTCCATCTCCGAATGTTCCGGTCGATTCCGACGAGTACAGTGAGTTTCTGAAGAATAAAATCAATCTAGCTTGTACTGCTCTCTCTCTCTCTCTCTCTCTCCTCACAATTCAATTTTATTTCTGTTTACAAATTTAGGTTTATAAGCTTGTGAATAAGAGCTTGAGAAAATGAGAGAATGTACGGGATTTAACTCTACTTGGACTATGAATCCTACTTTGAATAGGAACTCTACTTAAAATTTCTGGATGGAAAAAAAAAATAACATAATGTATTTTCAAATAACCTTTAAATCCCGGTCTAATTTAGAGCTTGAGAAAATGAGAGAATGTACGGGATTTAACTCTACTTGGACTATGAATCCTACTTTGAATAGGAACTCTACTAAAAATTTCTGGATGGAAAAAAAAAAATAAGATAATGTATTTTCAAATAACCTTTAAATCCCGGTCTAATTTAGAGCTGTCAGCCCAACCTGAAGCCCACGGGGCAAGCCCATTTGAACAACAGCGGGGCGGGCTAGGGCCCTTAAAAAATGTTCGCAAAATTAGCGGGTTTAGCGGGTTAGGCCCATATGGGCATTGGTTTCAGGCGGGTTAACCCGCTGCGGTTTTGCTTGTTAGCGGGCAAACCGACTAAAAATCGATTTCCGACATTTCTTCGACTTGTGTTCTTCTTTCTCCTCCGAATAGTCCGAATCCACACGAAACATGCATGATTCAGCACACATCGTACCTCACGCAGGTAAAAGCCGTTGAGCTCTACTTGATGGATCCTTTCGATTCTCCCTTAATCAGCTCATTCCTCATGGTCTCTCTATTTTCCTCTTTTTTCTGTTCTCTTTGGCTCATTTTGTTTTTCCTGAGTAATTAATATTATGCTCATGTTTTTGCAGGAATTGGGTGGTCTTAGCATCGCAACTTTAATTACTGAGGTAAATTGTTCGCTAGTTTTAGTTATGATTGGGATTTTGAAGACTAATTTTGAGTTAGAAAGCTCAAAGCTTTTGTTAGAATGAAGAACAGTAAGATTATTGTGTTCAATCTCTGATTTGTTGCCACTTCCTTCGTTTCTTCTTCTTTTCTGGAAGAGATTTGTGTCCAGAAGAGATCCTCCGACGTCGACGCATCAATTAGTCTTGGATGTTTATTTTGGTTTAATGAAGTACTTGTTGGTTTTGTTTATTCTGTTTGATGTTTTGCAGTAAAGTTATGGTCGATGTTTATGGTCGATGTTTTGTTTTGTTTAGTTGGATGTTTAGTAATGAAGTACTTGTTGGATGTTTTCGTTCAATGATACGCCTACAACAGTCTTTTGGACAGTTTGTAGCCTTGTGTCAACTCTTATATTTTGGTTTTGTTACTGTCTCCAGTTTTGTGTTCTAACCTTTGTTGTGTAATGTTCTTGTCATTTAACGAGAGAATTTTTGTTTCAACTTGAAAGATCTAACATTGTTGCTGCAGGTTTCAGAATAATGGAGCTTTAAATGTAAACATATCAGGTTTAACAATGGAGCTTTATGTTGCAAGTTTGAGCTTTCTGTTGCAGGTTTGACACTTTGACGAGACAAACATACACATTCACAGTAGTAGATCGCACACCATCATGATGCCTGCGGGCCGACCCGCAAATCCCGCAAAAACATGCGGGACGGGCTTGGGCCTAGAAATTTTGTTCGCAACCCGCGGCGGGCCGATCCGCGCGAACAGAACTAAAACAAGACGCCCAATGGGCAGGTCCAGGCGGACGCGGGCTGACCCAATTGACAGCTCTAGATTTGGTTGACCCATTTTGGGATTTGGCTTCCAGTTTTAAACATTTGGATACTAAAAAAATAACAATAATTTAAGGAAAAAGAATTCCACGGGCATGGTTGCCTTTTCAATTATCATCAGACCGAGGTGCCAAGCAATATGTTGTCAGAATAACGACGACTGGTGCGGTCGTAAAGCTTCGATTTTTCAATTGTTTCCGTAGCCAATTGCTAAGTCTCTTTTAGATCTTAAAGTCTCATCTTAACTTCTCTAAAACCTTTTGGTTTAATCCCAACAAAAAAACTGTAAATGGCCGTGTGGAGTTGTTTACGCGCCTCCTCTCGCTCTTCAACTCGCCACCGTCTCTCTACTCTCCCGCTCCTCTTCGTCTCCCACTCTCCTTCCTTCACCGCCGTTCCTCTCTTCTCTCCGTCGCCGTCACCGTCACCGTCACCGTCCCCATCTCCCCCGCCGTGTTTCTCCGCCTCTCACCACCGATTGTTCTCTTCAGGACGAGAATTCCCAATTCTCAATGGCGATGATTCTTCTTCGCTTCCGGTTCAAGCCGTCGTTGATTTTCTCGACGGGTTTCATCAGGTTTCAGGGCTGCCTTGGTGGATGATTATTGCATCTTCTACTGTTGCTATCAGATTAGCATTGTTTCCCTTACTCATACTTCAACTCAATAAATTGAAGAGGATCTCTGAGCTGTTACGTCAGTGTTAGTAGTCCAAATTTCAGACCTTTCTGCTGAATATAGTTTCAGACATTTTGCTTGCTAGCTATAATTGATTATGTGATTGATTCTGCATATTCTTGTATTGGAGTTTGACGAAAATTTCAGACCTTTCTGATTAATATGGTTTCGGTAATTACTAGACATTTTGCTTGCTAGCTAAGTATTTAATTATGTGATTAATTCTGCTTGTTCTTGTGTTGGTGTTTGATGAAAATTTAAGACCTTTGTGCTGCTCATTTTCTTCACAGTGCCTATGCCGATTCCAGAGACTCCTACATTAAGAGGATCTATTGATCAATTTTCTCTGTTTCTTAAAGAAAGCCGAGCAATTGGATGCCCTTCTTTATTGTGGTTCTTCCCTTACTTATCCGTCCAGGTACGAAAAACACATCTTCCGATTTTGTTTTGTTTGCAAGTCATTTCGTCTTCCTTTATAAGCAAACTTTGTCTAAATCTGCAAACGAACGAACAGTCTTGCTTCGAATTTTGATATTTTTTAGACACTCTGTTGAACACTTCACTTAGGGATTGTTCCTTTGGATATAAGCTTTCTGTTCCCTTTTAGTGTCTTGAGCTACGAATGAGACTTGTGGATGATTTTTGATTATACATCTGTAAAGAATGAATTTTGAGGTTGAACATTCATCTATATGCATGCAAAGATAAAAATTTGTATGCGAAAGCGCCAATCTTTGAATTGATTTTATACTGACTTCTCTCATCACAGACAGGATCCATTCTCCAATTTGTCCATTTTTGTGCCACTCTCCTTCTGCTTTAGAATTATTGTTGACCCTTGTGAAGAAATATCCATATTTGTACATTCTTGTATATCTGTTTGATACCACTCTATATGAACCTCTTTCTTGTTACTTCATCCTTGTCTTTCTTTGTAAATAGATAATAGTCTTTTTCTACGTTGATGTATTTAATCTAGTTCATGTGTTTGCATCATATTTGTTCTTACTTGACTCTTTTGGCTTTCATTATCTGCAGCTCCCATGCTTTTTCTTATTGATGGCTAGCATCCGGAAGATGTCGCTAGATGGTCATCCTGGATTTGATTCTGTAAGTTGAGACTGCATAAGTTTCAATTGCTACGTTACATAGTATCGAATTACCTCGCCTTTCTAATGCTTGTTCTGTTGAGTCAACTTGAGTACCTTTTAGTAACGTAAAGGGACAACAACTATCAACAGGGAGAAATAGAAATGGTTAGCACCAGTTTTCTTTGCAAATATGGAAAAGGAGACCAAGAGGGAAGTTAGAGTCTGAAGTATGCAGTAGCAGGCAACTATGACGCACGTTGCATTGCTTAAAACCAAATCAGCTTGGTTTTAAAACACAGTCTGGATTTAAATCGTAGTGTGTGGGTGGGCTCTTAGTTAGGATTGTCCAGACTCATTACATTACTTATATTATTTTTCTTTCATAATTTGAAAGCTGAGGTATACTTGTCTATAGTGAGATGTATGGTCTAACGTTTTAATTGTGACTTTTTTCTATATATACAATTGTTACTTTAGTTGTTGTAATTAGACCATCTTATGGAAGCTAGAGAGCATATATGGACCTGAATTTTTCTTTTACTATTCCTTGATGTTGCTTCTGAGACTGAGATGATATCTTATCTTTGCAGGGTGGTGCCTTATGGTTCCATGATCTGAGTGAACTTCCTGGTGGCGCTTTTGGACCAGTCTTTCCAGTTCTAATTGCCGTCTTCCATTACATTAACATACAGGTTTTTACAATCCGTGAAACTTAAACAGTATTGCATTATTGCAGGTGACAATTATGCTTCTAACTTTTAATCGTTTTCAGATTTCTTTTGATTCATCCACAGTTCGTCAAACTACCGGCTTGATCGGGTTACTCATGAGAGTACGTTACGTTGAACAAGTCGCCTTAGTTACTTACGTCTTAGATAATATTAGTATTGTTAGTGATGTTGTTACTCATGTCCATGGTGCTTTTTTGGTTAATAATATTGTACTTGTTTTGTGTGTTTGTAGTGCTACAAGTTGTATTTGGAGATCTTAAGTGTTCCTCTGTTTTTTGTTGGCTATGCTATTCCGCATGTAAGTAATCTCTTCCATCTCTCTCTCTCTTCATCTTTTGGTTATCTCTCTAGTCATGTGATTATTCTGTCACTTATCCTCTTCTTTACTTTATTCTGTCTAAAGCATTTTTGTTCTTTTTCTCAGGGAAGTCTTGTCTATTGGGTAACCAACAGCTCAGTTAGTATAATTCAGGTATGCTTTTTTTTTTTTGTCTCATTTCGGAATTCGAAGTAGAAAATCCATTTCCATGGTAAAAACTTGGTTTTTCTTTTCTCATTGCAAATATTTTCAAATAGACTGATAGGTTGTTCACCGTGGCAGAATTGACTATGTGGATGAGATGTGTTTTACTGACTGCCCTTGTTATATACAATAGATTCAAACGTTATACAGAATCGACTTTGTGTATGATGTCAAAATGTGTAAGTTCCTTACTGAGAAGTCTCCACTCTGCAGCAATTATCACTCAAGCACCCTATGGTAGGAGCAAAGCTTGGTTTACTAGGTCAATCCCCGTCCCCAAGCGTTGAGCATTCCATGGAGATCAGTGAATCCGTGATCAAGTATATTGACTCTGACTTAAAAGAGCAAACCCTTTCTCTACAGACTTTAACACCTGAAGAACTTCTTTCTGTAAGTACTGGGAAATTGAATAAATATTAGATCATGTCTACTTCTATGTTTCATTTTTTTTCCTTAAAATGGATTTGGTGTCAGCTTTCAGTTCAGGTCTTGTCGAAAGGTGATAAAGAAACATCCATTCAGTTGCTTCGGTGTGTATTTCCAAAGACTTGCCTCTTGGTCCTTTGGTATTGTCCTTTGGTTTTCTCTACCTATTTGAACTTAGTCATGTTCACTGCATGAGTATTCTTCTTTTTTCAGATTAGCTCTTGACAAAGATCCTGGATATGTAAGAGGTTTGGTTCTCATGGGGCAGGCGTTGTTGCAGAAGACGCAGTTGTCGGAAGCTACTAAATATTTAGAGCTTGCTATCTCCAAGGTTACATATTCCAGTCCATTGCTCTTTCTGGTCTTTCAACCTATTAGTCCTTTCTGTAATCTTGAGACCCAATGGATTTTCGAGTTTCTTTATCTATCGGAATTTGTCTCTCCTGTATCTAGTTGGTTGCTTCTGCTTATGGACTGTGTTCTTGAGACCCTTTTACTAAGCATCATTATTCTTTTTGTTTATTTCGCAGCTCCTTGATGAGGTTGCATCTGATGCTGAGGATGTTGAACTTCTGATGCTTGCATCTCAATGGGCCGGTGCTGCATATGTGCAACAGGTTTGACAAAATCTTCATTTTTGAAAAATAATAATCATGAACGCTCCTCTAGTCCTTTTTTGCCTATTATAGTCCTTTGCTAAGTTCGGATTTGTACAATACTAAGATACTACTGTTATCTACGCTCTGCGGGTTTCGTCACCTTTCCTTTCAATCTTGTGAATCTTGTGTTGTACTTTCTTTGTGAGCTGACGTTTGGTGAGGCCTTACTGGCAGGGAGATATGAAAAGCGGAATCGCGCACTTGGAAAGAGTTGCGAATCTGAAAGAACCCGGTGACCCGAAAAACAAAGAGCATTACTTTGAGGCATTGCTGCTTCTTTCAAGGTACTAACTTTAACATCAGAACCATCACAGCACAGAGTTTAGGAAGTAGGTAAAGAAACATTATATACCACTCAAGTGTGAGCAGTGGTGAAAACAAAAAGGTTTGGTTTTGGTTTGTTTTTGCAGTGCTTTGTACAAAGAAGGACAGAGTCATGAAGCTGCCAAGATTTTACGAGTAGTAGTGGATCACAATCCAGCGTATAAACATCTTCTAACACAGTGTGAAGATGAGAATGAGCTTGTTAGCGATCTTGTCAGTAGCAGGAAGGATCATTTCTGATATAATAATAATGTTTTACAGTGTTCATTGTAAGTATTAGTTTCAACTTTTAATAGTTTTGTAACATTAAAAACCAGAACCAAAAGTCACATGAAAACTAGTCACACACAACACTTGACTTGAAGAGTCCTGAAGCTAGCACACAAAACATTACCATCAAATTCAAACTAGTTTATTCCAATAACAGACATTAGGAAACGAAGTCTAACACTAACATTTGCAATAGCATGACCGTCCTGGTTCATCAACTGTGACCGAGGAGGCTCGACGACACCGGTGAAAACATAAAGAGTTTTCAAATCCTCTGCGTATGTGTCACTCCTTGCAACACTGTATCCTACTACCTTCCTTAACGCTTCCATCTTCTCCCACATTTGCTCCTCACTGTACACCTGCAAAAATGCAAATGTTCCTCTTAAACCATTGGATAGATCCACTGAATTTGACAACATCTTTAGAATCAATCTCAAATATGTTCTTTAAACAGACTCGAGACATTTTCGCTAAACGATACTAAAACCACAACGTCTAAATAATGGGCACACAAAGAATTAGCAATGAACGTTTTGCACGATCTGCCTCTTATCTAAAGAACTCGAATCATGACACTGTAGAAGGATGAGTAAAACCGGTTACCTGCGCGCCCGGTTTTTTTCTTTTTCTTAGTTGTGTTTTTTCGTTTCTCTTCCCTGGTTCCACTTGGCGCAATTACTGCTTGGTCTACCGGCTGGTCAAGAGAGATCAGAGAATAACTTTAACATAATTTTCAGCGAGTTAACTAAAACTACTGACACTATTCAGTGAGATTCACATTTTAAGTAGTGAAATGCTATACAATTACGACGTCACCTTGATTCTGTATCCACAATGCATTGAAAACAAATGAACGTGGGAATGTCCATCCGGTTAAGCTAGTTATCAATCAAATAAATAACTGGATCTATATGGGATCACCACACAATCGCACTTCTTAGACCAACCTTCTCGGCTACATATCTTTTTCATGTCATCCATGATGTACTATTTCTTGCAACGCGCTGTAATGATTACGGTTTGAAGCTAATATAACACAATCACTAGTGAACCAAGTCCATGCATGTGGTACCCTTACAAAAATGTAGTTGCCAGTTTTTAAGAGTCTAATAATGTATCAACCGAGTCCATGTGTGATTGTGGAGATGAATACAAAATTAACAAAAATTATATCGATTTACATTTTTTTTAATCTTGATCTACCATGATCTCAATTGCTAATGGTGTTTTCAAACACAAGGATCTAGAAGATCACCCACAAAAAGAAACATCACCATTACAATGTATACGGGTTACAGTGCAGATTCTAGTGTTATTAGGCTAGTGGATCACTCAGCAATATAATCATAGTAGTAAGGAGAATATTATCCAGTAACAAAAATGAATTGCAAAGGAAAAACAACACTTAATCAGCCTTTGGAATGCATGCAGATGATTACTCAACTAGAAGCAGGGGATGTTCTGGTATATTATCATTGTCTATTAACTCTAAAGATAATAGGGTTAAGTCTTAACCTCATTTGAAGATGTTTCCTCATCCTTTCCCTTAAAAGTTTCATTTGTTGTGGCCCCAAGTTCCCCTGCAAAAAATTATGAATCTTGGTAAGCTATTCTGCACAATGTAAGATTTATATAGTCATCATAAACAACCTTGACGTCCAGTTTCAGTTGCTTCCTTCTCTCCAGCCTGATCTTGAACCTTCTCTGACTTGGCATTTTCCGAATTTTCACCATCTTGCACTTCTTTATTAATGGTTCTTCTATCAGCTCGACCTTCCTCCCTAATTCTCTCTATCAAGCTTGTTGACTCTTTCGCCATCTCCTCATCTTCGTCAGTCGGTTCAGTTGTAGCCATCCAAGGTTTATACTCATCAACTCCAATCTTATGATACTGAAATCCAGATTCATCATTCTCAATTTCACCTCTTTCTTCAGTAGCAGGAAGCAGACTACTCATGACCTTTTGAGTACAAGCATAGTTAGCCAAGAAGAGACAAAACGGAACCGAGGAGATGAAGGCGATGGTAGAGGCGACAATAAGCGGAGGAAAAAGGAGTGGAGCTGAAGACACTACAACACCAGCTGTAAGAACCTTCTTCCCAACACTTACTGCCTTACTCCAAATCGAACTTCTTTTGTCTTCACTCTCATTTGACTCGTATTCCTCCATCATTTGACTCATGGTCCGTGATATCTTCATTTCTGCCAAGAACACCGAATGAATAGGGTATGTTAACAGCTCAAAGAGAGATTAAAACAAAAAATACAGCCCTTACATTAAACAAACAAACAAAATGTGAAAAAAAAAATATATATATTATATGAAAAATGCTCTAGTCCCATACTAAAGAAGAAACACACTGACGCAAACACAATCAAGAAACTATTAAACTCCATCAGTTTTATTTTCTTTGAAAATACAAACAAAATGTTAAAATTACGTTAATCCCATTTGAATCATTGTTACACTTAAAGAAGAAATACAGTGACCCATTAAACTTCCTATATGCAAACACAATCAAGAAACTATCAAACTCCGTTAGTTTCTTTGAACAAACAGACAAAATATGGAATATGCTCTAGCCCATATGAATCATTGTTGACTTAAAGAAGCGATACAATGACCCCTTAAACTTGATGCAAACACAATCAAGAAAGTAGAAACTATTAAACTCCGTAAGTTTAATTTTCTTTGAACAAGCAAACAAAATCTTTAAAAAATGCTCAATGGCATCTTGTTTCCCACTATAGTTAACGAAGTAAATCAGCATGAACAGATGAAAACTCAGTAATATGAGACGGACGAGATTTAATCAACCAAAAAGAAAGAAACAGACCTTTTTAGGTTGGAGGAACTTCGAAAGCAAAGAGCTCATGTCAGATTCAGCAGCAGCAAGTAGGAGAAAATAATGGCGAGAGAGAGAGAGAGACAAAACGGCCTTGGACAGAGACAAGTCGGAGCAAAGCACAAAGAAAGACAGTGACACGCGTCAAGAAAACAGCAACCAAAGTTTGCATGGTTTTGTGTCGCAACGTGTCTCTTCCTTTCTATATCCACCGACAATCCTCTTTCCATTATAGGACTTGAATGATAACACAGTCCAGATCGATCAAATACAGTTAGACAATAATACAAAACTATCAACATTTAATTACTACCAGGTATTTAACCCACATTATACAGAGATCTTCGGTTAATATAACTTTCGTAAAAAAATTATTGAGAATTTTATATATTCAAAAAAGTAATATTGCATTTAAAAAAATTCCAGCGATTTTATCAATGATCAATGTATGATATTTTGTTTTACTGATAAATTTATCATATTTTTATGCATTATTTTATAATATATATTTCTTTTAGAATATTGCATTTATTTTATATATTCAAAAAAGTAATATTGCAATAAAAAAATTCCAACGACTTTATCAATGATCAATAATAAATTTATCATATTTTTTATGCATTATTTTTATGATATATATTTCTTTTAGAAGTAGTTTTATATTAATGTTTGCTTTAAACATTTTTGACTTAAATATATTTAGAAATATATTCTTGTTCAAAGTTCTAGTTACATATTTTCTTAGAACTATAAAATTCAAATAGAGTATTTAATTGTAAAAATGATTATTAATTCACCTTATATAGTTTGCAAATTTTTCATTTTCTTAATCACGTCAAATAATTATATTTGGAAAGTTTATAGAAGTTAAATACTTTCTTTTGAATTTGATGGCAAACGCATGTCAAGCTCATGGAATCGATGTAGACACCTTCTGCAATCATTATATAAGTCTTTATATTTTCTTCATATGTTCTTATGCAGTCTGAGTCTAGGATCCAACATTTCTTCCTAATAACTTATGGCAAACTCGCATCTTTTTCTAGAACTCTTTGAAAATGTAAAAAAGATGATTATTCTTTCCCTAACAAGTTTATTGTCTATATCTCTTTGCCCTTGTATATTTTTGACGTGATCTTTTATAATTTGAATATCGCTATTTACATTAAAGATGAAATCTTCTTAAAAAATATAAAGAAAGCCCATGAACGAAATGATAGCGGAAACTCACCTAAAACTCAACATTTTTTCTTCCTCTACGTCTGACCTCTATTGTCCTCACAAATACAAACTCTTGTTTTGTTGATGTAGGGTGAAAAACTTTCTTAAAAAAGTATAATATGAGCTGACCTAATAACTTTCTTTTGAACTCTTTTGCTTCCATATTAATACAAACAAATTGTTTACATTTAAGTCCATTTTTCTGAAGTTTATACGATGAAAAAAGTTTTATCTAGTATGCTATTGTTTTCTTGAATTTTTTTTGAACTCGCAAAACCTGATCTCTTTCATCACCTCAAAAGAAACTACAAATAAACTTATATGTCTTCAACACGACATTACACATTATTGTTTCTATCTCCTCTTTTTATTCATAGATTAAATAATGTTGAGATTGATTGTCTTACAATTGGCTTTGTTTGCTCCGAATAATCCTTTAGTTATTATTTATTAAGGTGTAACTGAAACAACCAGCATTTTTTTTTTAAATAATTACTAATCAATTCTAGCGAAGATCTTTAAAATAAATTAAATAAATAAATATCAATAACAAACAAATCAGTTCAGCGGAAGCAAATAATAATTGAACAAGTCTAGCAAAACATTGCCAAATAAATAAAAACAATAAACATCCTATCATCCCCTCTTCAGCCTTGATTCCGCGATCACACATATCTTTTACCTGCAACACATTGCATAAGTATTTAATAAATACTTAGTGAGGCAATCACTCTGCCTACGAGCCATTTAATCAATTACTAGATATTTAATAATATTTATAACTCCAATAATTATTAAATACCAATTTTCAATTATTAAAGAATTCTTAATAATTAAATACTTCATTTCTCAATTATTAAATAATTCTCATAAATAAATAATAATTTCCCATAATTAAAAATAATTAATATAATTATTTTAAACCATTTAATTAATTAAAACTCCCATTAATTAATTAAAATCTGAAATTACCAATAACCAGATTAAACCATTTAACCAATTAAATCAATTCAATTAAGTCAGACCAAATCAATTTAAACCGGAATTAACCGGTCTGTGTCGACCGACACACGCTTTGTGTGCTCCGACACAAACCTTCTGGTGTCGACCAACACAAGCTTTGTGTCGCTCGACACCGATTCCTGAAACACAGAGATCGATCAATATCTGAAATACAGAAAATCAGCAACACATCTCAAATCAAACCACGAAAAACAACCATATCATCACAAATCACACACAATCACACACATAATCCTGAATCTAGCAATCACGGACCCACAGTCATGCACTCACCTCGATTCTAGGTTGAAAAGAGGGGAAAACGGATTGAAGAAGATGAACTGTAGCAATGACGACGATAAACACGACGAACCACCGCGCAGCAGCCACAACACACGAGCCCAAGTTCTGAATCAACGACAAACAGCCTCAATGATCCCTCAAACGCCGGAAATCGCCTCAAGCTCTCTCGTCTTCTCCACTTTTCGTCCGCTAAACGAGAAAAAGAAGAAGCGAGGCGGCTGCGCAGGTTCTTAAACGTGAAACGAGGATTTTCCAACCCAAACCACTAAATCGGTCACTCAAATCAAACCGGGTTTGATTTCAAAATAGCTATGTCGACCGACACACTTCCTTTGTGTCGCTCGACACAGCTTTCCCAAGCTGACAATTCGGTTTACGAATGTTACAACTAAAATTATAACGCCCCGACCACCCCTCCTAGTTAGTCACCCACGCCCTCTCTCTGGGCCTGTAGGCCAATCTCAGCCCGTGGGCCTCACCCCTATCCGACGGCCGGTCCGTTATTTTTGAGAGACTCTAATGACTTGTTTACTATCCTTGCAATCAACACCTGACCTTTCCCCGTGATTTGGTCTCACTCACACGGTTTCGGAAACCACTTCCCGGAAGGTCACCCATCCTTCAACTACTCCAGCCCAAGCATGCTTATCTCTGGAGTTACTTATAGACCTTTGACCGAAAAGGTAAATGCACTTTGTTGACATAGGTAGCCAATTCAATTCTCTTAAGCCTCTCCTCACTTATCATAAACCGGGATGTTACAGTAACCTACTCTTTATTTGTAAAACCTTAAGTTCAGTCAAAGAAAACTCATCGTAAGGTCTATTAAATTCTTTACAACTAATATTGTTGTTATACAAATATTTTAAGTAAATCAACCTCTTGGACTGCTATGAAAAACACCATTGGATTTCAAAATATATAATTTTATAAAATTTAGTAAATTATAGGATGTTTTAATAATTTTTTTTTAAATCTCAGTTTATTTACTTTAGACTTGTGGAGTTTCTAATTTAAACCGATTATATTAGTTAATTTTCTTGAAATATAAAAATGAAATAAACTAATTTAACAAATTTAGTTAATTTTATATGATGATATAAATTAATACTATTGGTTGTTTAAAAATTGAAAATTACTTAATTATATAAATGCTTATGTGGACCAATATGATGAAGTTTTATAATCCTACTTGGACACCACTAGTGATTATACCCCCGAGCAAGCGCGGGTTTAATTGATATATTTAAAAAATATATTTCTAATTTATTTCTTTTGTTGTATTGTATAATATTGAAGTTTTGTAATAGATGATGCTGTCATGTTAATTGTAAATAATTTAGTTCTAATATGTCCAAACTTTCGAGAACTATTTATATGATTTGTTATTATTCTTATGAATATTTATAATATTTTCCGTATAAAAAACCGGTTGTTTAGTGAATTTTGAACTATCTCTAATCACTATCGACATTGTGATTTTCTAAGTGTAACATCCGCAAACCAAAGAAATTCAATTTTTCTTTGGTGTCGCTCGACACCAATGGGTAAAATTAAATTTCGGTTCGATTTAAGTTGGTTTAGACCAGTTTTGGGCAGGGAAAGCCCTAGGTCACAAAATAAAAGAGCAGCCACTTGGGTTTTCTTCTATTTGGTCGTTTTGTGCAGTGGAAAAGAGAAATGGACAATTTTCTAGAGTTTTGTGGTGTTCTTGGTGGTTTGGTGATCGATCTGCTCCTGTTTGTTGTTGTTCTTCGTTCCTTTCATCTCCCTCTCCCCTTTTTAATCCGATTTGAGGTTAGTGCATGACTGTAGGTTCGCTAAATTGCTAGATATGGATTGTTAGGTTGATGTTCTTGAGGTTTCATGTGATATTGTTGTTATTATGTGTTTTTTTATTGAGGTTTGGTGATGATTTGGTGTTTTTGTGATTTTTGGTGTTGATTCATTGAAACTCACTGCCGACCTGTCGAACAGGTGTCGACCGACACCAAGCGGGTGTCGCTCAACACTGATCGGTTCGACCGGTTCGATTGGAAATTGAGGGGTGCTACTTGGTTCTCCAAGATTGACTTGGGTCGGGTATCATCAGATCCCGATAGATGAGGCAGATGTCAGGAAGACTGCTTTCAGGACGCGTTATGGGCATTTTGAGTTTGTGGTTATGCCTTTCGGTTTGACTAACGCGCCGGCAGCCTTCATGAGATTGATGAACGACGTGTTCAGGGAGTATTTGGACGTGTTTGTCATCATTTTCATTGATGTACTCGAGGAGTCAGGAGGAGCATGCGACTCACTTGAGGTTGGTTCTGGAGAAGCTTCGGGAGCAGAAGCTTTTTGCTAAGTTGAGCAAGTGCAGTTTCTGGCAGCGAGAGATGGGATTTCTTGGCCACATTGTTTCTGCAGAGGGAGTTTCTGTGGATCCGGCTAAGATTGAGGCTATCAGAGATTGGCCTAGACCTAGTAGTGCCACAGAGATCAGGAGTTTTCTGGGTTTGGCAGGATACTACAGGAGGTTCGTCAAGGGGTTTGCTACCATGGCGCAGCCGATGACGAAGTTGACTGGGAAGGATGTCCCGTTTGTTTGGTCAGCTGAGTGTGAGGAGAGCTTTAGTCAGCTCAAGGAGATGTTGACTACTACACCAGTGTTGGCGTTACCCGAGCCAGGGAAGCCTTACATGGTGTATACAGATGCTTCAGGCATTGGTCTTGGTTGTGTGCTGATGCAGGAGGGCAGAGTGATAGCATATGCTTCGAGACAGTGGCAGGGCAGTGAGCGTAACCGTCCTACACATGACTTAGAGTTGGGAGCAGTGATCTTCGCGTTGAAGATTTGGAGGTCTTACTTGCTAGGTGAGACAGTACAGGTCTTCACAGATCACAAGAGTTTGCAGCATATCTTCACTCAGCCGATGATGAACGCGAGACAGACGCGCTGGGTTGAGTTCTTGGCGGACTATCAGGTGAACATTAACTACCATCCGGGCAAGGCTAACCTAGTGGCGGACGCGTTGAGTAGACGGAGGTATGATTCCGCAGTTGAGCGAGATGTGGAGTCTCTGGTTGGCGAGATCAGTACCTTGCGTTTGTGTGCCATTTCGCAGGAGCCTTTGGGTTTAGAGGCAGTGGATCAGGCGGATCTACTTAGCAGGATCAGAGTTGCTCAGCAGAGTGATCAGAGTTTGCTGGATGCGACAGAGTGACTGGTTCTGAGTATGAGGTCTCTGCGAATGGGACTATCTTGGTTCGTGGGCGAGTTTGTGTGCCTAAGGATGTGGAGTTGAGACATCAGATTTTGGGAGACTCATGCGAGCAAGTTTTCCATTCATCCAGGGGCGACCAAGATGTACCATGACCTCAAGAGGTACTATCATTGGGTCGGGATGAAGAGGGATGTAGCAGACTGGGTTGCGAAGTGCAACACTTGTGCCTTGGTGAAGGCAGAGCATCAGGTTCCGGGTGGTCTTTTGCAGAGTTTACCCATTCCAGAGTGGAAGTGGGACAGGATTACGATGGATTTCGTGGTTGGACTACCTGTTTCGAGGACTTTCGATGCTATTTGGGTGATTGTGGATCGGTTGACTAAGTCCACACATTTCTTGGCCATCAAGAAGACAGATGGAGCTGCTGTTTTGGCTAGGAAGTTTGTGCGAGAGATTGTGAGGCTGCATGGAGTGCCAGCTAGTATTGTGTCAGACCGTGATCCCAGATTCACTTCAGAGTTTTGGAGGGCGTTTCAGGCAGAGATGGGCACTAAGGTGCAGAGTAGGACCATCCATACTTTGGAGGATTTGTTGAGGATGTGTGTGTTGATTGGGGTGGCCATTGGGCAGATCACCTGAAGTTGAGTTTGCATACAACAACAGCTTTCAGGCGAGTATTGGCATGGCTCCATTTGAGGCTTTGTATGGGAGGCCATGTAGGACACCCCTATGCTGGACCCAAGTGGGGGAGCGCAGCATGTATGGAGCTACTTATGTTCAGGAGACTACAGAGAAGGTCCGTGTTGTGAGGCTGAACATGAAGGAGGCTCAGGATAGGCAGAAGAGTTATGCAGATAGACGCAGACGAGAGCTTGAGTTTCAGGTTGGAGATAGAGTGTATCTCAAGATGGCTATGTTGAGGGGTCCTAACAGATCCATAGCAGAGACAGTGGTGGATCCACATTGATCAAGGAGGTGGCAATTGCCACCACTCAAAACAAAAATTTGTTCATGTTTTTAAAGAAAAATAATTTATGCCAACCATAATAAAACAAAAAATTGCCCCTATAATTCATATTTCAATCATCTTTAAGTTTAAAATCAATTAATTAGTTAACTTTTTATTTTGTTAAGCCTAAAAAGATTTACATACACTAAATATATTCATCTTTTTATTAATAAATCCAAAATTTTGCCCCCAATAACTATACTTTCTAGATCCGCCACTGCAGAGAACAAGCTGAGTCCGGGTTTTATGGGTCTGTTTCCAGTGGTGGAGCGAGTTGGACCATTGGCTTACAGGCTGGAGTTACCTGAGATTATGAGAGTCTTTCACAAGGTTTTTCATGTGTCGATGTTGAGGAAGTGTCTTCACCCTACAGAGGAGTTAGTGGCTAGGATTTCAGAGGATCTTCAGCCAGATTTGACAGTTCCGGCAGTGCTTGTGAAAATCTTGGAGAGGAGGGATAAGGTTCTGAGGAACAAGAGGATCCCTTTGTTGAGAGTTTCGTGGGATTGTAGTGGTTTTTACAGAGGAGACATGGGAGCCAGAGGCAAATATGATGTTGAAGTTCGGAAAGTGGTTCGACAAGCAGGTCGAGGAGTGAGCTGATTTCATCTTTGTAGCCTCAGTTATTGTTTTTGGCTTTGGTGTTATTGTATTTCTCGTTTTGGTTGTAACAATATACATTTTTGGAGTTATATGAGATGCAGGTTTCCTCATTTTGTCCTGTGTTTTTAAGTGGTATTTCGGATGTTACAAGAGTTTAGCCATTTTGGGTCGTGAGACAGTTTTGGAAACAGTGGTTCTCTGCCAGACTCGTCTGAGTGTAGTGGCCTCAGTATTATAAAATGGCTAGTAATTTGCGTAATTGATCTGTAGGCAGGATGATTGACTCACTAAGTATATATGATAATACTTACGCAACTTTATTCCAACGTGTTGCAGGTAAAAGATTTGTGTGATCGCGGAATCAAAGCTGAAGAGGGGATGATATGATGTTTTCTGTTTTTATTGTTTTGCATTGCTTTATTTGCTAGTAGCTGGTGTTTATGTTGCTAGTATTTCTTTTATTATTTATTTGAATTCATTTGTTGAACCTCATTTATTATTTATTTTTTTTTTTAAAAACTTTCGCTGAATTGTTATTTAATTGATTTATTTTTAAAAAAATGTTGTTTTTTTCTCCAAACATTTTAGAGTTTTCATATTCTGTCTTTGTACTTGCAATCACATTATACATTGTACTATATTGATTTTAACCTATTTCAGAGCTAGATATGTTTTTGTTCAAATTTATGCATAATGATTTGAGTTTGTAACACTATCTTTAACATAATATATGTTTTTGTTAACTGCATGACATCCTAAAACTTGTCATGTGTGTATTTACCGTTAAAATTGAGTTATTTTTATGTCTGTTATAAACCTTTTCAATTTTTTTATATACAGTTACAAATGAACTTATAATTTTTTATATCCTTATTAATTTGTAATTTTTAGAAAATATATGTTATTTCATTTATTATTTTAAACATGTTAATTTTTTTCTTATTTATAGTTATCTTTATATATTTTGAATTTTCAAGTTATGTGAAAAATAGTTTCTTAAATTTTATAAATCATCAAATATCTATTAGTTTTCTTATCTGATGTTTTTATTATTTTATTTTATGAAATATATTTTAGGCTTTTTGGTAAATAATATATTTTATTTAGGGAAATATAATAACAATAAAGTGTATAAATTTATTGATTCAATAATTTTAGTTTTAATGTATGTCATTTCTCATTTTTCATTTTTTATTTTATTCTTTTTTTTTCTGGTCAACAACATTTATTTCTAAACCAGTTCGGAGATCAAAACCGGCGAAACAGAGTTTACATAATATACATCAGTAGGTAGCGCTCGAGCACTCCGTACTAACTTGTCCTGAAAGCAGTCTGAAGCATCTTGACAAGTTTGATAGGATTTGTTCTTTGCAGAAAATCAATGGAGTTTGTGAAGATGATTTTAAGTTGAGGCTTTTCCCTTTCTCCTTAAGGGGAAAGCTCTCACTTGGGAAACTACTCTGCCTGTTGGATCAGTGACAACTTAGGAGCAGTGCAAGCAAGCATTTTTGGCAAAGTTCTTCCCAAGCTCAAGAACAGCACAGCTCCGCAATGACATCTTCAGTTTTACAAAAATGAATGGAGAGACTTTCTGTGAGGGTTATGAGCTCTTTAAAGGCTATCAGATGCAATGTCCTCACCACGGCTTCTCTAAGGAATATCTGCTGAGTACTCTGTACAGAGGCGAACTGCCCAAATACGGCATGTTTCTAGACACAGCGAGCAATGGTTACTTCATGGTAAAGATGTTGACGCTGGATTGATTTTCGTTGAGAACATGGCAGCTACGGTGCAGATTATGATATAGCTGATCGAGGCAGTTCTACTCAAGAGGCGAAGCACAAGAAAGAGCTCAAGACTCTAAATGATAAGCTTGATAAGCTACTGTTTGGTCAGCAAAGGCAAGTCCACTTCTCTAATGGTGAGGAGATTGTGATTCAAGAGAAGGAGGAACTAATATTTCGTCTAAATATAATTAATATAGTCGAGTATTTTAGTTATTCAAATTTAAATATAACTAATATTTTTTAGGGTATATCAAATGTTCATCTCGTTTTTGCTTTAGATCCATTTTTCAGATTTAGTATACAAATAATTCAATCAAATATTTTTAGTTCATGGTTCTTCAGGTTCGGTTAAAAAATCCCAAGCGTAGGATGACTACACCGATATTTCCCAAACCACCCACAAAAGTACAAGTATCATTTCCGCCACAAATTATTTAACTGAGAAATGAAATCAAACCTGCGAACCAAATCTGTATATTTTCGGGTTCTGGCCAGTTCAACCAAGAAATCTTATATAATGAGAGGATAACTCTCTCCATGTGAGTGACATGTGGCGTCATCTTACTACAAAAAAAAAAGAAATTTCAATTCAGTCCCTAAACATTCGATTCTCTAAGAAAAAAACAGAAATAATACTTTTTGGTTTCTTCGATCCACCGTCGCATCTCCCTTCACACACAATCACCTCCTCCACACCGGTGCATTCGCCACCGCCAGTCTTAACCAGGCCGCAATAGCCATGCGACTGCCATCAATCCTCCTCCTCCACCCATCCCAGTCGCTACCGCCGTCGACTTCCCAATCGAAGAAAGTTGCGCCAAAAGAGAAGAAAGACGCCGCCGTTCATGGCCGCAACAAGATTCCTTTCGGCGAATACGTCCCGGCTCCAACTACAGTGGTATTCAATTCGCCGCCGTCTCTCCAACGAACCACAGTGTTGAGTAAATCCACTAGATCCAGACCCGGGCCTCTCCACTTCTCCGCCGGTGTGATCTCGATGCAAACTTCCCGCAGTCTCCGTTCCATACGCCACATCGGCAATTAGTCATATCAAATTAGGGTTCCTCTCCTTTCCGGAACTTTCGTCAACAATCAATCACAATGGGCCCAAGACATATCACGTCAGCCCACTCTAAAGCCCAACAAGTTTTTGTGACACAATTCCTTTTAAAAAAAGGCCCTCATTTATCCGCTTCAGTTTCCTTTCATTTTCATCTTTGCCGATTCACCTTCAGCTGCTCGGAGGCGTTTAGAGTGAACAATCTACGCCTTGATAGATTAGAGATTGATTACTTGAAGAGGGAAAGCCACAACAATAGAAACGGGATTATCTCCTCTATGTGGCTGTAAGAAATGTTTCAACAGTCTTTAAACGGTAAAGCTTAACATTATGCAGATATTGGTCGAGTGGGACGAAAAATGTGAAGACGCGTTCAGGCAATTGAAGGAGTACCTCACGACCCCACCAATTCTTGCGAAACTTGAAGAGGGAGAAACCCTACTCCTATACATCGCCATATCTAGCACGGCAGTTAGTGGAGTCCTCGTCCGCGAAGACCAAGGAGAGCAAAGGCCAGTCTTCTACGTCAGCAAAACCCTCAACGATGCCGGGACGCGGTATCCAACCTTGGAAAAGCTGGCACTAGCTGTAGTCATCTTGGCACGAAAGCTCAGGCCATACTTCCAATCACACTCAATCACCGTCTTCACTAGCCAACCACTGCGCCAAATTCTTCATGGCCCTAACCAATCCAGGAGAATGGCCAGATGGGCAATCGATCTATCCGAATACGATATCGAGTTCAAGAGCCAGAAAGCGCCAAGTCACAAGTGTTGGCCGGTTTTATCGTGGAAATACCACCCGAACTCGCAATTCGAGAGTAAGAGCAAGTCCTCAAGTGTACACTACATGTCGACGGATCATCCTCCAAGCAAGGAGCGGGCGTCGGCAACATCTCGTCTCCCCCCACCGGCAAAGTCCTCGAACAATCACTCAAGCACGGCTTCCCAGCATCCAACAACGAAGCCGAATACGAAGCAATCATTTCCGGACTTCGTCTCACCAAGGAAGTCGAAGCCAAACATGTGCACGCATTCTGTGATTCCCAGCTCGTCGCCAAGCAGTTTAGCGGCGACTACGACGCGAAAGACGATCGCATGGATGCGTATCTCAAGCAAACGCAGGAACTCGCCAAGACATTCAAGACATTTGAGCTGACAAAGATCCCTCGCTCTGAGAACTCCGAGGCCGACGCACTTGCCGCCTTGGCATCCAAAACTGAATCAGCATTGCGACGAGTCATCCCGGTCGAAACCATCGACCAACCAAGCATCAAACTCCCCAAGGGAACGCTTGTCATGGCCATCTCCTAAGAAGAAGAAGAAAAAGACGACCCCATCCACGCTGAATCGGCTGAGGAACCCCAACCGTGGCAGGACGAGATCAGGAACTACCTCGTCAACGACATTGTGCCAGAAGAACGATGGGCGGCTCGCCGCCTGCGACGAAAAGCCGCCTACTATTTCTTACGAAATAATGAGCTATTCCGTTGGAGCGCAAACAAAGTCATCATGCGATGCTGAGACGAGGCACAAGCCAAGACCATCATGACCGAGACTCATGGAGGAGCCTCGGGAAATCACGCGGGTGGAAGGTCCCTCTCCTTAAAGATCAAGAAGATCGGATACTTCTGGCCAACGATGGTCGAGGATTGCAAAAACGTCGCCGAAAAATGCGTCCCCTGCCAAAGGTACCCACCCACCATCAACTCTCCAACGCAAGCACTCCAAGCCGCAATCCCAGCATACCCCTTCATGCGCTGGGGAATGGACATCGTTGGACGTATGCCACGTTCGCGGCAATGTGCCTACCTCCTGGTCATCACCGAATACTTTACCAAGTGGGTAGAAGCAAAAGTATACAAAAACCCAACTGCCTATGACGTGAAGAAACTTTGTGTGGCAACACATCATATGCCGTCACGGTCTACCTTACGAGATCGTAACCGATAACGGTGGGCAATTCATCGCGGCTACCTTCCAAGAATTTTGCGCATCATGGAACATCAAGCTCGTCTACTCCACGCCTAGATACCCTCAAGCTAACGGACAAGTCGGGTCCACAAACAAGACTATCGTCGATGGCTTGAAGAAAAGGCTTGAAGGCTACCAAGGAGCTTGGGCGGACGAGTTGGATGGAGTACTCCCAGATCCGCGTCCGGGGAAACCCCCTTCACTTTGTCACACGGCTGTGAGGCATTAGCACCGGCGTAACTGCACGTCGCAAGCTTGCGGAAGAATTACGGGACCGCGCCCTCTTGTGTATGCAAAATTACCAGCAGCAAGCAACTAGGTATTACGCCAGAAAGGTGCGGAACCGACGCTTCGAACTCCATGATGTCGTCTCCAAAAAAGTCCACGACTGCACCAAACCCGAGCACGCTAGCAAGTTCGGATTCCACTTGGAAGGGTCGTTTCGCATCACAAAGATCGTCGAACCATGAGTCTACGAGCTAGACGACTGTCATGGAAACCTGCTTCCTCGCTCATGGAACTCCATAAACCTGTGCAAATTCCATAGCTAGACGCGAAGCATCGCGCCATGACATGAACATTTATAACGAACTACAACTGGCTTGATCCCGGCATAGGTATGTATGCAGCCTTTCTCGCTAAAGGCACAGCTACAAATTAATAAAAATAAAAAAGCCCTTTTATTTTCTATTAATCCCAATGCACGCATTTCTTATAGAACCTCTTTGGAAGGGTTCCCGTCTCGCAGTAACAACTTCACCTTCAGCTGGTAACTGAAGCCCCCACTGACGACGTTAGCAAAGCAAGCTCAGCAGGCAAAGCAAAAATTCCGAAAACCATCAAAACGCAACGAGACGACGTTCGGACGCACTTAAGAAAAGCAACCCGTGGACTGATCACCCACAAAAGACGAGAGCACGCACCTCGCACGACGCCAGTCCCTACGGGCGAGGGACAAAATCGCTACCTCGTTACACGTATCGGACCGCAGTATCGTTGGCATAAATCGAAACCCTAGATCTCATCGCCAAAATATGTGACCCACCAAGTCGCCGCACCCTAGACCTTATACGCATTGGTCGGTGTCTCGAATGAGAATCATGATGAACTACGAATGCTTCGCAGAACATTTATATACCTCTATTTTACATGCTTTTTATACTTTTAGTATGTTTTCTAATGGTTTTTGGCAGGTTTTCTATCTAAAAAGGTAGTTTTACTTGTTTATAGTACTAGAGTCTAAACAGGTGAAATGATGCATTTTGGAGCAAAACCATAGGATTTGCACTTCAAGCCGCTCCATACCCAAGCATCAACTTTAAGAGGGCCCAGAAAAAGATCTACTCAATGGATTTCATCAAGACCAGTTCCCCGTGCTCTGAGTGAGTTAACTTTCCAACGCAATTGGATTCATCATTTGGATGAGTAGAAAGTGAGTTATGATCAATTAGTGAAGACTGGTCCAGACGGCTTATCGAGCGTTCGCATCCTGAGCCGCGCACACCGGCCGATCGAGGAACGAACGTACCGCGATCGTCCCGCGTACATCATCCGTCCCGCCAAGTTCACGGCCGAGCTCACGTACCGACCCGGGAAGCAACATCCCGCGGTCGAGCCGTTCTTGCCTCGCCACAACCGTGCACGACCGCAACGCGCGAACCGGGAAGCAATGTCTCGCGGCCGCGCGGCACACACCACGTCCCGCGGCCGATCCATCCGTCCGACCAGGAAGGCTTCGTCCCACGTCCGGCCAGAATCATCGGCCAAATCATCCATCCGTCCGACCCGTCGGCCGAACGCGAAAACTCTCGGCCACGATCGTTCCGACCGTGCCGATAGCCGACCACGACCCGATAGCCGGCCGATCGTCCCGACCGACCGTCCGGTCGACCCGAAGCCCGTTTTGAAGCCGTTTCACACGTTTTCACAGCCCGGCTTAACCTAATGCCGCCTCTGAAGACCTAGCACTATAAATACAACTTTTTAGCCTCTTGAGAAGAGAGCCGCCCTTGTATCACGATTTTCATACTTAGAGTTTTTGCAATCATGTTTTCTTCATCTTTATGTGTTATTGCTTTGATCATGTCTGAGTAATCCACTAGTTAGGTTGCTAGGGTTACTAATCAATGAGTTGCTTGCATGATCTTTGATTTCGATGTTTAGCTAGGGATTATCTTACTTAACTAATGCTGATTGCTTTACCGCGCATCTAGTAATCCGATCTTAGGTTGATTTGAGCCTCGAAGTGTTGTATCATTCGCCGGACATATTCTTTGACAAGCTAGGTTTCTTAGACTGCGAAAGTTGATTTACTATAACCTAGTGAACTGTATCAGAACCTATCATCTAATGCTTGATTTAATCACCTAGGGACATACCAAAAGTTTAGCGACTAGGTAGATTAACAAAGGAACCGGAGCCTCGAAAGTGGAATGGTTTTATATTCGTGATCTGTGTTCTAGACGGTTTTAATATCCCAATATCCCTAATCAATTCATCTATCATTGTTTCATTGATCATTGCTTGCTTCTCTGCGATTAGCCCCTGTTGACCTAGCGCTTCTTCCTTATTGATTTACAACCTTATTTACTTGCTAGTTCTAGTTCACCATTACAACCTCCAATCATACTTTTGTTTTAGCTTGATCCAAAATCCATAGTTTCAAAGTGTACTCAATAGCCAGTCCTTGTGTTCGATACCCATACTTCCGCGATCTGTGCACTTGCAGAGGTCTAGAGTTTGGTAAAACCTGACTCACATCAAGTTTTTGGCGCCGTTGCCGGGGACTGCAGCAGTACCTTTGAACTCGACTAGGATCTAGTCTAGAACCTTTCTTTTTCTTGCTTTTTTTGCTTTTGAATTTTCAGTTTTTGATTTCTTTTCTTTGATTTTTGCTTTTGCTTTTGTTTTTCCCTTTTGATTTAGTTTGTTTCCTAGACTCTTTTCAGGTGCATGACTAGGAGGTCCAACAAAGACAACCTAGTTGAACATCCGGAGATAGACAAGCTCGAGAAGTTAACTTAGGAAGCAAAAAGCCCAAGAGATGGCCGACGAAGCAGCTCGCGCTCATGCCGCTGAGGTAGCGCGCTAATGAAGAAGGAAGAGATCCACCTCCTCCTCCAATCCACAAGATCCTGCTGGGATGTGAATGTGCAACCTCAAGCCGAGCAAACAATCGGAGACTATGACTCTGCCGATGCTTTCTTCACGGATAGAAACCCTATCCATCCACCACTTCCTGCAAGGAATGACTATGAGATCAAGCCTCAGATCATAGCATTGGTTAGACAGAACCAATTCAATGGCCTTCCAGCCGAACATCCTCTTGATCACATAGAAAACTTTGAAGAGTTTGCAGCACTACTAGATCCAATGGAGTCTCAGCTGACTACTTGAAGTGCAAGCTCTTTTCATTCTCTCTTGGCGACAAAGCTTCAAGATGGTTGAAGTCTCTGCCAGCTCACTCCATCACCACTTGGGATGAGTACAAGGCCGCTTTCATCAACCACTTCTACACCAAGCAAAGATCGGTTTCTGTAAGGAACAAGATCTCCAACTTTCGCCAAGCCACTAATGAATCTTTCTATGAGGCGCTAGACCGATTCAAGGAGTACATTAGAGACTGCTGATGTAATTGCATTTTGCATAGTTTTAGTACATCTTTTATGCATCTTTTGCATAGTTTTAGCATCCATTAGCATCATATCTTGTTCCTTTTCTCTTCTTATGCATTCATGTAGTTTTAGGTTGCATTTGCATACATATGCATGTTTGGTCCTTTGAAATAGGTCTTTTGGAGCATTCTGGAGCATATGGGACGTGAGGAGCATGGAGGGACTTGGCACATGGACGCAGCTCAACTGGATACGCAAAGGAAGAAGGAGAAGCCATCTTGAAGACCAGCTCGACCCCTACTCGACCAACCGGTCGAGTTCCTCAACTCGACCGGCCAAGCTTCAACTCGATCGAGCTGAGAAGTCAACAGTCAAACCCGAAAAATGTTGCTTCCCCCTTGACTTTCCTTTGACCCTAAACCTAATCCTCTTGTATTTAAAGGCTAAAAGCCACGAAAAAACCACCAAGCTTTAGATTATTTTGTTTTAGTTTCTTTTAATTTTTGTCTTTTACTTTTTAGAGCTCTAATCCCATCTTTGTGTTCTTGAAGCTCTTGCTTCTTGAATCCTAGATCCTGGATAATCTCTTTGTATTTGCACTTGCTTATTTCAATAAAAGTTGTTTAATTTCATCTCCTCTTTCTTATGATGTCTCTTTTATTGCATTTGCTTGTGTTTACATTCATGTGTAGTGAGTAGTTACCCATTAGGGTTTGAGATGGGATAGATTAGAGGTTTCATATGCTTAATCCTTCTAGCTTATGGTCTTAATCTAGATTCTCTCTCTTTTGGATAGATCTTAAGGCTACATGACCACTACCCCTGGCTTGTAAGTCCTTAGGCGATTCCCCACACGAAAGTGATGGCATTCGCTGGAAAAGATCCACTAAGAGCTCCAATATCTCTTGCTCTAGAAATAGAGGTCTAAGGGGTTGGATGGATTAGTTTGGGCAATGATCCTATAGCCTCCAAGGTTTGATTCTCACTGGCTAACCCCCTGTTTCTGAGATCATTCCTTGGTTGATAGCCTTCACCTTGGGAAAGGGTTGGCTAGGCATTGAGAAGCCCAATATCAAGAGAAGCCTTGATACAAGGAGTTTTAAGAGCTAGATGATTAAGTGTAGATTCCTTTGATTGCAAAACCCTGTCTTGAACCCTAATTCTCTCTTAGCTTTTAAAGTCGCTGCCTTTACTGCTTTTCTCAACTCGACCCTAAACTCGATCGAGCTGGTACTCTGTTCCTACTCGACTCGAGTCCTTGGTCGAGCTGCTTGTTTACTGCTTTATTTACTTTTATTGCATTGCATTTCATTTTTAGGTTGTTAGTGTTACCAAATCTTTACTGCTTGCTTGACTTCCTGGTTGTTTCATATTCTCATAGAGTGACAAGTTTCCCATTTTGGATTGATAACCCTTTGTACTACATCAACTATCATGGTTAAAGGGAATTGTTGACTGTGTTTGTGTTTGCATCTTACCACCTCATCATATACCACTGATTGCATTCCACACATCTCATTTCATATCTTTTCACATCCACACACAAATCCTATCATCAACTGCCCTAATCATGGTTTCAAGGAGGGAAACCTATGGATATCTTCTATCGTGGCATAGACCACAAGTACAAGCTTTCATTGGATACTGCAAGCAATGGAAACTTCATGACCAAGACAATTGATGAAGCTAAGGTTCTTATTGAGAATCTTGCAGCTAGTGATTGTAACAATTGTCCTGATTATGACCGCTCAAGCCGCACCACTACTAGCTCCCCTGATGTTTTCAAATGACTGAACTCAAGAACATGATGGCTCAAGTTCTTAAGGGACAGCTCAAGCATATCAATGCAATAGAAGGGATGAGTGATGCTAATGAAGACCCATCAAGAGAATGCATGGGAGATTTCTCTAATGAAGCCAATGAAGAAGATGTGAACTACATTGGAAACTATGGGAACAAGGGATACAATCCAAGCTATCGCCCAAACCCCAACATGTCTTATAGAAACCCCAATGTGGAGAATCCTCAAGACCAAGTGTATCCTCCAAGGTATCCACAACAACAAAGACCTCCTTACCAATCTCAAGGAAGTCAATTTCAGCCAAGGCAAGGATATGAGCAGAGATCATCATATCCGCCCAAGGAGCCATATGCTTCTTCACCAAATCAAGCTCCTCCAAACCAACAAGGTGGAAGATTTGAAGGAATCCTCCAACAGATCATGGATGGCCAGAAAAGGAATAGCAAAGAGATGTATGAGAAGATGGACACTTTGTTCAGCAATCTCAACACCAAGTATGATGCTGTTGCCACTCATGTGAAGAAACTAGAGACTCAAGTCACCCAAACTATGGAAGCTGTTAAGAGACAGGAAGCTGAATCCAAGAAGTCCTTTTGCAACTCAGCCGCCATAGAAGAAAGATTTGAAGATCAAGTTCCAGAATGGATGCTTTCAAAACCTACTGTTGATTGCATGATTTGGCCTGAAGAGAATTACCCAGAGAGAGAGTCCAATCGAGCTAGAAAGAGAAGACTCTTTCCAAAGATTATCCCCAAGACTGATAACTCAGGAAAGTTTGATCTGTGCCTTGTATCATCAAAGGTAACATTCTTGAGCAATCTTTGTGTGACACAGGAGCCAATGTGAACATCATGTCTAAGAGGATAGCTGACAAGATCGGCCTCACCAAGATTCAGCCATCATCCATCTCCATCAACTATGCTGATTCATTCTCAAAAACCCCTATGGCTTTGTGCCCAATGTGATGGTGCAGATTGGAAATTGCTCTATCCCTACCGACTTTCAGATTGTGGAAATGAGAGAGAGTAGCCATAGACCTCTCATATTTGGAACCCCTTTCCTGTCTACTGTGGGTGCCATATTTGATTTCCCCAATCAAAGAATCTCTTTCAACAAGGTGAACAAGGGTATGTTCTTCCCTATGTGTTCAACAAGAAACTCTTTTGTTGACATGGTCCAAGAGGAGAAAAGTGCTCTGAAGTCGCTAGAGCAATACCCTTTCCTTCCTTTTCCTTTCTCCTCCTTTCAGCTTCGGCGACCACGTTCGCCCAAGTTTCCCTACTTAGGTCACGTAAAGTTCTAAACTTTTCTTTCAGAGTAGTATTTGTCTTCCTCGGAGTGACCCTTTCTGCACGTAAAACAGCGAGAGCATTGGTTAGCATACAAAGGAATCATCGAAGCAAGGTAAAGTTCTCAAATACTCTACCCGGCTCTTGAGTCCATTCTGTCAAAACGTGGTTGGGATCGAAATCTCCGACCGAAGCACGGTCGATCTTGACAAAGAAGTAGTAGCGCGTCCAATGATGAATCTTTGTCCGATAATCACCAAAAACGATGTCGTGTTTCATCGACGTGTGGAAGCGCTTAAAATTCCCTTCCTTAACCCCGACACGAAGGTCGGTGATACGTTTGAAAAGCTCCCTAACTAATTTCATCCCGGCCGTTTTCGCCAAAGCAATTGAAAAAACAATGTGCCGCACGACGCCGTGAGTCAGCTGACTCAATGCAATGCCTCACTCGTATGCATATTCGAGGAGAAATGGAAGGACGGGGAAACGTATTCCAAATTCCGTAAGGAAGCATTTGTAGATGCAAAACCATCCGGATGGAGCATTCATCGGCTTCTGGTCCGGCGAAGGGATGAGAATCTGAACAGCATCACTGATCCCTACCCTCTCCCTCAGAGCATTGACAATCTCCTAGGTCATCCCTGATTGACCATCCCGAGCTAGGGACCTCGCAGACGATCTCCACGGCATCTCAATCCTTTTGGGGAATACCGTCAAGCCTTGCATAATCGGGAACCATTTCCTCGCTGAGTTCAAGATCAGTGATGTACTTGCATTTTGCATGGTTTTAATACATCTTTTATGCATCTTTTGCATAGTTTTAGCATCCATTAGCATCGTATCTCGTTCCTTTTCCCTTCTTGTGCATTCATAGTAGTTTTAGGTTGCATTTGCATACATGTGCATGTTTGGTCCTTGAAATAGGTCCTTTTGAAGCACTTTGGAGTATTTGGGACGTGAGGAGCAAGGAAGGATTTAGCTCAACCGGACATGTTTGGGACGAAGGAAAAAGCCATCTTGAAGTCAGCTCCACCATCTACTCGACCAACCGGTCGAGTTTCTCAACTCGACCGGCCAAGTTCCAACTCGATCGAGCTGAGGAGTCAACAGTCAAACCCGAAAAATGTTGCTTCCCCTTTAACTTCCCTTTGACCCTAAACCTAATCCCTCTTGTATTTAAAGGCTCTAAGCCACAAAAGAGAGAACAATCTTTAGCTTATTTTTGTTTTAGGTTTTCTTTTAATTCTTGTTATTTACTTTTTGCAACTCTTAAGCCTCTCTTTGTGTTCTTGAGCTTCATGATCTTTGAACCTTAGATCTAGGCTATTTCCCTTTGTATTTGTGATATATCCATATCTTTCATGTTTTTATCAAGGTTTTCACTATGTTTTTAATACAAATAATGTGGTTTTTAAGCCCAAGAGGTAGTTTTCTTGTATATTCTGGTTTTGAGCATCATTCAGGTCAAAATAGCAAAGAAGAGTCAAAATGGAGCAAAAGAGTCAAATCACCAAGTTCCCAAGTCTAGAGCACCAAATCTACATTTCTCGCTAAAGACCAAACCGGAGCATCCGAAGTACGACCGCATATTCATGCCTTCCCGACGTCCAAAAGTCATGATTCTTATATGGAAAGATAGATATTTGAGTCATGACCCGCGGCGAAGTGGAAAGAGGTCATTTGGATCACTCGTTGGACCGGAACTTATTTTCTACCAAGACATGTCCGACGAGCGCCTAAGTAGAGCCCATGGAGACTTTGATGGATCAAGAGGCCCGAGATACCGCGCCCAAGGCCTTGGCTCATCTTGACACTAGCATAACTCAATCCAGAAGCTTCCATTGGCCTGAACTCGGCCCATTCAAGAACTTGGAGAGCAAGCTCAAGCGGCTAAAGAGAAATGGAAACTTTCCTCTTCTGCGCGCGCTCAACTTTGCCGACCTAGACCCGCTCTCTACCTATATATACTTGCTTTTAGCCTCTTGTAATAAGAATCACCAGCCGCATAACAAGAAACACATTCAATAAAGTTCGGAGCCACTTAGGTGGTCTCCTTCTTCTTTCTTTTCTTCTTTTGCATTTGTATATAGCTTGCATGTTTCAATTTATATAGTCTAGAAGTAGAGATTTCTCCCTAAGAGGTGCGGTTTGACTCATATTCCGCCGCCTCTCTCTCTAAGGATTCATGAGACTTCATCTACTATCTATGACTCATTGTTGAATTATGGATCCTTCCAATGAGGACGTGATATAATGGCCATCGAAAATCGATTGTTAAAAGGGGAAACCCTATGGTTCTCCATCTTTATTTATGCTTAATGCTTGTTGCTAGAGTAGCTAACTAGTGACTTGATTTTAGGTTGATATACTCTCCAAAAGCTTGTTATATCTCCGGATATAGTATTTGATGGGCAAATCGTTTTAGGCTACGAAAGTAGACCTAAAGAGTTTTGTGAACAATCATTACTTGGATGTAATGCATGTCTCACTCTACAATGACCAACGAAAGCTGAGCCCATTGGTTTAAGAGACATAGGGGATTGGAACCACGAAAGTGGAATAATCCTTCCTTAGTGTTTTGAGTTCAAAAGAATCGGATTTTAACAAACTTTTCAATCGACTTGGCTCATGTTTTCAAAAGAGTTTTCAATAGTTCAATAATGTTGCTTGTATAGAATTGCATTGTTATTTCTTTTGCGTGTTCTCAACAAACACAAACCCTTGCATCTTTTGATTTAGCTTAGATCATTTAAACTCTATGATTATGTAATGTGTGAAATCCAATCCCTTGTGGTTCGACCCCTAAATACTACAATTATATGTTGTGCACTTGCAACACTAGTTGTCTTAGGGAATTATTACTTGTACTCATCCCATAGATGCCGCATCAAGTTTTTGGCGCCGTTGCCGGGGATTGCATCATAAACACTTGCATAGTCTTGTTTAAAACTAAGTCTAGATCTTGGTATTTTCGAATACTAACTTTTTCTTTTAAATCTTGTGTTTATAGGTACTTGGAGATGAATCACAACACCAACATCCACTTTGGGAACCGGACACTGATCCCACACGATCTCCACGGCCGGAGTTACCAAGACCCAGCCGTAACATCGTGCCACATCCGTTCCCTCCCAACCGCGCTCATCCGACGTTTGAAGGACCTAGCCGAGACGAGCATCATTACCATCATCATCAAAACCGACCTCCGGTTTATCATCAACCACCTAGACCAGTGTTGCATTCACACCACGACCATGTTCTCAATAGGCGGAGAGATAGCCATTTCGATGCCGTGCTTGAGGGTTTCATGGAGAGCCAAAGAAAAACTAGCCGCGACATTGAGACAAAGCTAGAGTTCACGCGATACGAACTAGATGGAAGACTTGGAGAACTCTCTACCCAAATAGAGAGAGTAGAGTCAAGATGCTTGGACATGGAGGAAGATTTGAAGAAGCAAGGCGAGGCCATTGAAGACAATAGGAGAGCGATACACTTTACCAAAGTTTCTACCAAGGAGATGGACAATCACTTAGATGAGAAGATCACAAGTCTTGATAACAACCTCGATGGCACCACCAAGAGTCTCAATTCAATAACAGCAGTAGCTCATCAAGCTAAGAGGGAGGTAGCCGAAGTGACCCTAAAGGAGAGGCAATGTTACTCGACGATGCTTACATTGGTGGAAGGGCAAAAACAAGTGAAGGCACAAATCCGAGATTTACACATCTCTCTAGACAAGAGGAGCCAAGATATTCAAAGAAGAGCTAGAGGGCTTGAAGACAAAGTAGATGGAGTCTCCAAGGAAGTCAAGGATTTAACCACTCGCTTAGCCAACTTGGAAGAGAAGGTCTTGACCGAGCAAAGACGACCGTTCCTAAGCACAACCATGCCGCGCCCGTCTTTACTATAAGAGAGACCGACCCAAGAGTGATTTGGGATGAAGAAGAAAGTAGAGCTGATCAAGAAAGAGCCACAAGGCTAACCACTGGAACAAGAGAAGATAGCACCAAAAGGAAGAACCCTTACTCAAAGGTCTTCACAACCGCCTCCCACCAAGGAGAAGAGGAAGACAAGATCATCACTTGAAGAGATCATAGATGATTTCAACTTTATGGCGAGGAGATTCCCTTATGGTGTGCCGTTTGATAATGCTTGCAACAAGAGTCCATTCATGCAAGACCTAGCTTGGACACAAGATTGGAGTCTAGCTGAATTGGAAAAGATGTACGAGGAAGCAAGAAAGGGGATGCCTAAACCTAGGTTTCTACACAAGCTTCATGACCCAGGTTACTTCCTTATACATTTCTCTATCAATGGAAGCTACTTTGATGATGCTCTTTGCGATTCCGGTTCTAGTGTGAACCTTATGCCGGCCGAGATAGCCAAGAAGTTGGGATTGATCAATTCAATTGTGAAATCTCGAATGGATTTAAAGCTAGCTGATTCATCATTGACCGAACCACTTGGAGAGGTTAAAGACATTCAGCTTGATTTTGGAGGCTGCATAGTTCCAGCCAACTTCTATGTAGTAACCATGAAGGATCCGGAGGACTTAAAGCTTTTGCTTGGAAGATCATTCCTAGCCACAGCTGGAGCGATCATGGATTGGCCTAATAGAAGAATCTCTCTAGCCAATGTTGACAAGGACACCTTCTACGATGCTGCACCTCCCGGTTTCTCATCCAAGCGATTTCGCTACACAAGTGGAGGAGAGTGCTCACAAGTAAGAGGAGAGTCGCATGGCTACTTGATCAAGGAAGTTCTACAGGACAAGATGCACTTGGAATCATCAGGCAACAGGAAGTTCTTGGAGCCACCAATCCTACCTAACTAAGAACACAAAGGAGTCGAGCTACAAAGACTTAAAACAAGCGCTTGTGGGAGGCAACCCACATTTTCTTATCCCTTCCTCTTTTTATTTTTGTTTTTATTTTTATAACTACTTATTTGTTCTATTTATAACTCTTAAATTTTTGAGAGTTTAATAAATTTTACAAAAATAAAATAAAAAGTGTTTTAGGAAAAAGTACCAAAAAGGAGGCTTACATGAAAAATGCATTGGAAAAGCTACATCGCCACTAATCGGCCCAAGGATCAACCATCTTTGGTCTAAGTGTCAATTGAGTCTAGTTTGAGTCCCACCCAAGTCCCACCCATGTTTCAAGAAGCAAAGAATCCAAGAAGGGCCGCGGCACAACAAAATCCGGCCATTGGAACACTATTGCACAAGGCAAAGGTAAGTATCACTTCCATTCTTATTGTCATTTCTTTTAAACACTATTTCTATCGGCCATGATTGATGAGAGACTAGAGTCAGCCTTCACGCGATTGAATGAGAAGCTAGATTTGATTTCTTCTTTCACACGAGACTTAGATCTTAGAGTTGTCAACATAGCTAGCTCTATTAAGAGAGAAGAAGGTGTGTGATCGCGGGATCAGGTCTTCCCTTTTCCTATCCCTGATTCTGCAAGTGCACAGGTCAGAAGTAGTAAACGGGTATCGAACACGAGGACCAGATTGCACACTACAAACTATGAGATTGAGATCGAGCTAGGGCAAACAGTATGAGATTGGTTGAGTGCAGTGAAAGTAAAGGCATGCAAGTAATAAGAAAGATTGAAATCAATAGGAGAGAGGGCTAAGCAATAGGATAGTCTTAAGATAAGCAATTCATGAAGCAAGGATCAATCAATTAGGGTTATTGCAATTAGGTGCCATCTAGAACTTGAAACACTATGGTATGATCTTTCCACTGTCGAGGCTCCGACCCCTTTGTTAATCTCCCTAGTCGCTAAACTTTTGGTATGTCCCTAGGTGATTAAATCAAGCATTAGTTCGATTAAGTTCAATTGTTCACAACCTACAAGTAAATCAACTTTCGCAGTCTAAAAGAGGTTGCCCACCAAATACTAGTTCAGGCGAATGATACAGCACTTTCGAGGCTCAAATCAACCTAGATCATATGCTAATTGGCCAGATTAACAACAAGCATTAAGTATAAGCAAAGATGAAGATTATAAGTAAAACCCTAATTGTGATCGATCATCAAGCATACATGAATGCTATCCTTTGACTTCCTATCACTTAACAAGTAAACTACTCAGACATAGAGAAGGAAACGAATTCATATTCATAAGAACAGAGATTCGAATCCTCTCTAGAAAGAGAACAAGCAAGAACAAAGTAAAAGCAAGCAAAACTTTATTAAAGATGTAAAGTAAATTGTGGTCTCTCTCCTTCTTGAGTTACAAGGCTAAAAAGAAGTATTTATAATGCTCTAAGTATAGAAAAACGGCTAGACCTAATCTAGCTAAGTCGGCGCCGGCTTTGGGCTTGAAATTGTGAAACGGGCTTCAAAAACGGCTTCGGGTCGACCGGACCGTTCGGACGGTCGGTCGGGACGTTCGGCCGGCTGTCGATCGTGTGGCTATCGGCACGGTCGGTCGATCGTGGCCGAGAGTTTTCGCGTTCGTTCGTCGGGTCGGACGGGTGGATAGATTGGCCGAGGTTTTCGGCCGGACGTGGGACGAGGCCTTCCTGGTCGGATCGGCCGCGGTACATGAGTTGTGCCGCGCGGCCGCGAGGCGTTGCCTTCCCGGTTCGCGCGGTACGGTCGTGCGCGGCTTCGGGCGTGTGATTCTGGTTTGGCCGACCGCGGGACGATGCTTCCCGGGTCGGTACGTGGGCTCGGCCGTGGACTTTGGCAGACGGACGATGTTCGGATTTGGCCGACCGCGGGACATGTTCCTCGGCCGGCTGTTCCGCGTTCGGCCGCGGTTTCTCGATAGAGCCGTCTGGACAGTCTTTGCTATTTTGCATAACTCCTTTTCTACTCATCCAAATGATGTTCCATTGCGTTGGAAAGTTAACTCAACTCAGAGCACGCAGGGAACTGGTCTTGATGAAATCCATTGAGTAGATCTTTTTTAGCTCCTCCCAAAGTTGATGCTGTGCATTGACTGGTTTGAAGTCCAAATCCTCTGTTTTGCTCCATAATGCACCTTTTGACCTAAAATGACTCTTTGCAGTATAAATCCATAAAAACTACCTTTTAAGACAAGAATCCACTAGAAAACCATTAGAAAACCATAGTAAAATAGCATAAAAAGCATGTAAAATAGAGGTATATCAACTATCCCAAACTTAGATCTTTGTTTGTCCCCAAGCAAACAAAATCTAAACTAGTGAAAGAGGTTTTAAAAACGTGGAAACTCCCTTGCTCCTTTGAATTTCCTGTGAAAGGTTCCTTTCCTGTATTCCACTAAGAACATAGGCAACATAAGGTTAGCTTCACATACACCCTGCAAGTTTAGCGAACAATACCAACTCAACTAGTCTCTCATCCAGCAATCCAAACTCTCTATTGCTAACCTCTTGCATAAAATGAAAGCGTGAGTTCTTTATCAAGGGAATATTGATCATTAAGACTTAACCCGAGTCAGACTTAATTAAATCCTAACCGAGTTTAATTGAACCTTTTTTATAAATTGGTACTCAGTTAGATTTTACTTTTTTAATTAAAATGGTCTACTGAATAAAACCGATTTCAGATCATCGTTAATCAAATAAAATCAATGCAAAATAGGATCTAACCGAAAATAAAACTCATTTGAAATTGGTTGATAAATCAGACCGATACTTAAAACAACATGTTTGATTTGGATTTCATTTTTGTGTTCTTTTAGAATATATATTTGATTGTACAATGTAATATAAGAATTTGATTAAAAAAAAAGATTAAAAATCTGTAATACTCACAATCTGCGCGGGGGCTTAGCCCTAGTGAAATTAAAGAAGTTTTCTTTTTTGTCACCTATAGCTTTCCCTACGTTTTCTTCTTCCCGGCGAAGAGTAACCACAAAAAAAAAAGAAAAACCTTTGTCGTCTTAGTCTACTTCTTCTTCTTCAATTGGCTTTGCCAGAATCTCATGGTCTTCCAACTATGATGAAGGCTTGCAACTTCACGTGGCCTTCCGCACCACACAGATTCACCACCACCCCTTATCCTCACCCCCACTCGCGCCCCCTTCGCCGCACGTGCCCCTCACGCGCCGCCCCTTTGTTGCGAGTGAAAGCTTTCCAACGCGACGATTTCGACCGTTTCGCTGATAACGTCAAGTCCGGGAAGGCTTGGAGGGACGCATGGCGGACCGCTAACGAAGGATTCGAGCAATTCGTCTTTGAAGCTAAGAAGACAGCCGAACGAATCGACCGCCAGTACGCCGTATCTCGCCGGATTAGCTCCGCCGCAAGTTCTGCCGGTGACCGTGCTCGTGAGATTGATCGCGAATTTGGAATTAGCCCCCGCGTCAGGAGCTTATCCGTCGATTTCAGTAGAAATTTCCCCAAGGTGCGTTTCTCAGTTGCTTCTTGAAATGGCTCGTAGACATCTTTCAGCTAGATTCTGAGATTGAGGATTGAAAAACTGAACTTGAAGTGAATAGTGAGAATTTTGAGAAAGAGAATGATGTGAAATTTTACAATTCGGTGTCATCTATACGAAAAGAACATTTGATTTGCAGAGGGAGAAAAGTGAGACCATTAAAGATAAAAGTTGATTCTTTCGATTCAGTTCCTATTTTTTCTTCATTTTGTTTCACTTGGTTGTATTGTACCTACATGACTTTTGCGTTTTTTTTTCTTTATCTTAACAGTACAGGAAGCAATTCAGTGATTTCTTGAACACACCGCTCGGTGGAAGTTTCGCTGTAAGTAGAACACCTGCAGACAACTCAGTGATTTATTGTCTCTTGCTTTTACTCTGTTATGATTGAACCGGAATCTCGAAATTTTTTAAAGCACTAGTATCCTAATTACAACAAATAAGATATTTTCCACTGCCTTCATTGTTGCTCTTCTGGTGAATGTGATCCTATTTTGAGTCACCTGAATCTGACTGTCCTTTGAGTTCTGTACATTTTTGGCCTTATAGTGACTAGAAATATCTTGCAAATTTTTTATTTCTGTGGGTGAAGATTTATCAGTCATATGATATGAGCAAATATTATTCGCATTCCATTGGTTTCATTGAGTAGCAGAGCATCCAAAAGAAACATATATTTTGGTTAACCTGTCGGATTCTACATGGTTTTCTGTAAATCCTATTGTAAGAGTTTTATAATATCTAATTCTGCTTCTTGGATATGCTTTGGCTTCTGCACCTCCAGACTATTTTCTTTATTTGGTTTGCCCTCTCTGGATGGCTGTTCCGAGTGATAATACTCGCAACATGGGTCCTTCCAATTGCTGGCCCTCTTCTCATTGGTGCAGTGGCTAATAACTTTGTCATCAAGGTATATATGTATATAGCTAATAAAATATCACCTCTATTCTTGAACCAAATGTTCATTTAAAGCTCTGTTACATTACGTTTTGGTGCTTCACAGGGAGAATGCCCGGCGTGTAAGAGGCAGTTCATAGGATACAAGAACCAAGTCATCAGATGCGAAGGATGTAGAAACATAGTGTGGCAGCCACAAGGTGACTTCTTCTCAAGAGACGGCAACAACAACAACATCAACAACAACAACAACAAGGGAAACTCTAAAAAGCCACCTAAGTCTCAAATCATTGATGTCGAGTTTGAGGAGAAATAATGATCAGAGAAGCAGGCTACGATGAGACAGAAGGCGATAAGAGAAAAAGAGAGTGTTTGGTTAGCTAAACCATCGACTGTTTTTGTTTGTTATAAGCTGCAGCTATTTTGGAAGGAACATGTGTATTGCTTGTTGTGTACATGATAAGGACTTTGTGTAGATGAACAACTCTAGTTTCATAGGGAACAACTCTACTACAAGAGACTTGATTGAAGCTCAGAAAGTATTTTACATCTAGTTAAATCATATAAAAGCAAACAGTATACATATCGATTGTTTGTTTATGTTTATATAATTCCTATTTATAATAGTGAGTTTTCTAGAAACCGCAACTTGTAGTGCTTTGAACAACTCATCAAGGTCACTTATCCTTCAGAAAGAGATTGCTCCTCTCCTCTTTTTTATTTGCTGGTTGATAAATTTTCTGATTAAATTTGGGTTTAGTTTTCGCACTTTGGAAAGTTGGTTCCCGAGTTTTGTTTTGTTTTGTTTTTGTTAGTTTTCTGTCCTCCTGATTTGTAGGTGCCTATCTATTCCTTAGTTTGTGATGGGATCGGATTTAGAACTCAAACTAAAAAAAAATATAAGAACAAGACACTTGATTTTGGGCAATTGAGGTTGCCTCCTTTTGGCTTTTTTTCATTTACTTATATACAGGAAGCAAAGTGGAGTAACGACTCCTACAAACTTGGAAATGGGGCCTCAACAAGAGGAAGACCATATCTTCTCGTTATTAACTGAACTAAACAATTACAAAACATAAAATAAATCGAACCGGATCAATTGAAGTATTTCGGGTTTGGAATTTGAATCGGGTTTGATGTTCTTCTAATTAGTTGCGGTCCAGTATTACTCCCCTGTCGTCGAAAAGAAGCTTGTCCTCAAGCTCCAAGTAAAGAAAGCTTTGTTGAAGCTGAGTTGAGTTACATCCTCCCAAGTTGTGTTTGCATCCGAAAGTCCTCGCCAGAGTACCAGAGCTTCCTTTTTCAGTGAACCATTCGTGTGAACCTCCCTGACATCCAATATCTTGTCCAGAATGAGGTGCAAGCGTCCATTTTTTCTCATCAGAGGTAATGTACCTGATGTTGGTGTCTCTGAGCCCAGCCTTTGCTTCAACAGTGAGACATCAAAAACATAAGGTTGTAGTTGATGAAAGACCCAATCGGCAACCTGAAAGGTAATGTCCCGATGCTTTCCATTTGCTTCCTGCTTCATCGGATTAGCTGCAATATGTAAATGGGTTATGAGCTCCTGCATTAACTCGTCTCTTGTAGCTAAGTGCTCGTCAAGCTCCTGAATAGGGGTCGTGCTCAACTCGTAGCCTGCCAAGGGTGGTGGGTCACGACCGTACACAACTTTAATGGTATCACACCCGTCAAAGAAGAATGGTATGTGGTGTTAGTATTTGCCCCAGGGGATCATGGAATTCCATTGCTTTGGATTGTCAAGGACAACCCACCTCAAGAACTGCTCGATACACCAATTAGTAACTTCTGTTCGAATGTCGGATTGAGAGAGATAAACTGACGTCATACACAACTTTGTACTAGACAGTTTCCAAAGATCACACCAAAATGCATTTACAAAGATAGGGTCGCATTCGAAAACAATTGTCTTTGGAATTTCATGAAGTTTGACAACATACTACATAAACTTTGCAGGGACAGACATAGCCGTGTAGGGTGTGTCAAGGGTACAAAATGTGCTGCATTAGACAGCCTATCAACAGTTACCATGATCGATGTATGGTTGTAAGACCTATTAGAGGATCTAGAAGATCATCAATATTGTATATGTATTATATAGAGATATTAATTATGTAGTTTAGGAAGTCTCTTTAATATAATTATGTGATATTAATTATGTAGTTTAGGAAGTCTCTTTAATATAATTATGTAACATGATCATTATTCTTCATATGAGAGTAAATATAATTCTTACAATCCTAAACTGTCATCATTATTAGAACATGTTATGCTCAAGAGTTTCGATCAAACGATCAAACTCTCGTTTTTGTTTTTTTTTTAGCCATAGAACTTCTTTTTATTTTTGTTTAAGTTAAAGTGCTTCCAAGTATTCAAATTCATCATGAACCTCTGATTCTAAGCCATTGTGCTTCTTATTCAAGTTTTCATAGACTTTTGTATCATCTTTCTCAACTAATCTGATTTGCTGTAAACCAGAATATCATCAAAAAATACCCAAACGAATTTGCGCATATACGAGCGGAAGATGGAATTAATCAAGGACTGAAAAGTGGATGGCGTGTCTGCATGACCAGGTACTCATAATGGCTGTTATGAGTACGGAATATCGTCTTTGGAATATAACTTCTTGAACTTTGACTAGGTGATAATCGGTAGTCAAGTCGAGCTTGGTAAAGATGACCGCACCGTGGAGCTCGTCAGGCATATATATCGTCCACTGTTGAAATTGGGAAACATTCCTTCATTGTCGCCGCATTGAGAACGTGATAATCTGTACAAAATCGCCACGACCTGACCTTTTTCTTGGCTAAGACCACCGGAGATGAGAATGGACTCGAACTTAGTCTGACTAACCCGTGTCGAGCATCTGCTCGTTTGTACCCGTGTCGAGCATCTTCTGAAAATGAGCGTATTGATAGGGTCACACATTGACAGGGTCGACTCCTTCCTTGAGAGTAATGGGTGGCTCAATCTCGCAATTTGGCGGTAGCTCCGGTGGTACTGAAAAATCGCATCGAACTGTTGGAGGATTCAACGGATTTCATCTGAAATCGGGGAGGCTGCGGTTTACCGCTGTGGATAGAAAGGGAAAACAAGGCATGACCTTTTTGTGCTTCACGTTAAATTTCCTCCGATTGGGCTTGGTTGGTGTGATCACTTTGAAACACGCAAAACATTATTGTTTCCCCAACCTGTTCGAATGACTAACGATCGCCAATCACAAAGAATAGGCCAAAGTGCATTTAGAAAGATAGGGTCGCACTCGAAGACAATTGTCTTTGGAATTTCATGAAGTTTGACAACATACTACATAAACTTTGCAGGGACAGACTTAGCCGTGTAGGGTGTGTCAAGGGTACAAAATGTGCTGCGTTAGACAGCCTATCCACAATTACCATGATCGATGTATGGTTGTAAGACCTATTAGAGGATCTAAAAGATCATCAATATTGTATATGTATTATATAGAGATATTTATTATGTAGTTTAGGAAGTCTCTTTAATATAATTATGTAACATGATCATTATTCTTCTTATGAGAGTAAATATAATTCTTACAATCCTAAACTCTCATCATTATTAGAACATGTTATGCTCAAGAGTTTCGATCAAACGATCAAACTCATGTTTTTGTTTTTTTTAGCCATAGAACATCTTTTTATTTTTGTTTAAGTTAAAGTGTTTCCAAGTATTCAAATTCATCATAAACCTCTGATTCTAAGCCATTGTGCTTCTTATTCAAGTCTTCATAGACTTTTGTATCATCTTTCTGATGTTGAGTCAGGTTTTACCAAACTCTAGACCTCTGCAAGTGCACAGATCGCGGAAGTATGGGTATCGAACACAAGGACTGGCTATTGAGTACACTTTGAAACTATGGATTTTGGATCAAGCTAAAACAAAAGTATGATTGAGGTTGTAATGGTGAACCGAACTAGCAAGTATAACGAGGTTGTAAATCAATAAGGAAAAGCGCTAGGTCATAGGGGCTATCGCAGAGAAGCAAGCAATGATCAATGAAACAATGATAGATGAATTGATTAGGGATATTGGGATATTAAGAACCGTCTAGAACACAGATCACGAATATAAAACCATTCCACTTTCGAGGCTCCGGCTCCTTTGTTAATCTACCTAGTCGCTAAACTTTTGGTATGTCCCTAGGTGATTAAATCAAGCTTTAGAATGAATAGGTTCTGATACAGTTCACTAGATTATAGTAGATCAACTTTCGCAGTCTAAGAAACCTAGCTTGTCAAAGAATATGTCCGGCGAATGATACAACACTGTCGAGGCTCAAATCAACCTAAGATCGGATTACTAGATGCGCGGTAAAGCAATCAGCATTAGTTAAGTGCACAAGACGAGACAAAGACTCTAATATAATCCCTAGCTAATCATCGAAATCAAAGATCATGCAAGCAACTCATTGAATAGTAACCCTAGCAACCTAACTAGTGGATTACTCAGACATGATCAAAGCAAACACACATAGAGATGAAGAAAACATGATTGCAATAAAACTTAGAGTAGGAAATCGAAATACAAGGGCGGCTCTCTTTTCACAAGAGGCTAAAAAGCTATATATATAGTGCTAGGTCTTCAGAGGCGGCTTAGGGTTAAGCCGGGCCTTGAAAATATGAAACGGGCTTCAAAACGGGCTTCGGGTCGACCGCGGCGTTGGGACGGTCGGTCGGGACGATCGGCCGGAATCGGGTCGTGGCCGAGTCGGAACGGTCGTGGCCGGACGGATTCGTGGTCGGCCGCTGTGGTCGGACGGTGAAGATTGGCCGATGATTCTCGGCCGGACGCGGGACGTAGTTTCCCGGCTCGGACGGCGCATCGGCCGTGGTACGCGGAAGGTTGCGCGGCCGCGAGGTTGCTTCCCGGCTCGCGCGGCATGGTCGTGCGCGGCTGGCGTGAGTGGCGTGGCTTGGCCGACCGCGGGACATGTTTCCCGGGTCGTGATGCGTGATCGGCCGGAGGTTTGAACTTTGGCCGAGACTTCAGACGGACGGATTGATTTGGCCGAGCGGAACATTCGTTTCTCGGCCAGCCGGACTGCGCGGTTGGGCGCTTTCTCGATAGAGCCGTCTGGACAGTCTTCACTCTTTTGGTTGTAACTCCTTTTCTACTCATCCAAATGAGGCCGTTCCAGTTGCGTTGGAAAGTTAACTCAATCAGAGCACGCAGGGAACTGGTCTTGATGAAATCCATTGAGTAGATCTTTTTCTGGGCCCTCTTAAAGTTGTGCTTGTGCATGCTTGAAGTGCAAATCCTATGGTTTTGCTCCAAAATGCATCATTTCACCTGTTTAGACTCTAGACACTATAAACACAGTAAAACTACCTTTTTAGATAGAAAACCTGCCAAAAACCATTAGAAAACAATACTAAAACAGTATAAAAAGCATGTAAAATAGAGGTATATCAACTCCCCCAGACTTAGATCTTTGCTTGTCCCAAGCAAAAAGAATCTAAATCCGTGAAAGAGGTTTGAAAACGTGGAACTCCCTTGCTCTTTTGAATATCCTGTGAAAGGTTCCTTTCCTGTATTCCACTAGAACATAGACAACATAAGGTTAGCTTCACATACACCCTGCAAGTTTAGCGAACAATACCAACCCAACTAGTCTCATCCAGCAATCCAAACTCTCTATTGCTAACCTCTTGCATAAATTTAAAGCGTGAATTCTTTATCAAGGGGACATCGATCAATTGAACTTGTTCTTACCCACTTGATCTTCTCCAAGATTGTCTTTAAGTGCAATGAGTTCTTTTCCTCTCTCTTTCTCACATCAGAACTTTGAAAGGTCAATTTCTCCCTACTTTTCTAGGGTATCATTTTATTTTTTCTATTGACCCTTCTTTCAACCACAGGATAAGTCTTTAGCTTGTTCCTTGTTTGACTAAGGTATTCCATAAGACATGAAGGTACAGACATATGCATTCCTCATGCTTACTTGTTTTCCTTGTGCTCTTTGAGCTTTTTCTCATAAATTACTTACCATTTGGGATGGGAGAGAGAGGAGAACTCTTTAAAGATTAGACAAATCTTATTGAAAATCAAGCAAGGAACTGTCGACATGTATGCCAATCCCCTTGACAAGAGTATTAAGATTGATTAAGGTGAGGTTAACTCTAGATTGCTTGGTTACCTTAGAAATTTTGCTGAGCTAGCATGTCGATCCACTGTAAGAGCTTCTGTTAGGCTTGTGCCTTTAGCTGGTTTCTGCTCTAGGGTCATGGATTGTTAGCACAACACTCTCAATTCTCAAAGCAAGTTCATAACTTCCGGACTGGTTTTTGACTCAATAAAACTTTTTGAAAAACATGAAACAAAGTGAATAAAACATAAGAAAAGAAAGAAAAATGCATTAGTAACACAATAAAACTCCCCCCAGACTTAACTTGCACCGTCCCGGTGAAAGCAAATCACATTAAGGTGAGAGGTAATATTCAAAGTAAAAGAAAAATAAAGAGAAATTCATTAAAATGAGATAGGGATAGAAAATGGAGATTTGTAAGTGTCCATTGCACTAAGTACCACTTGAGATGACTATGTGTGGCAGTGAGAAGAACTCTCTTCCTCATCTATGGGGTCATCGCCTTCTGAACCAAGCTCTGAGTCTAGTGAGAACTCACCAAGGTCAGGCTCATATGGCTCTCTAGCGGTGGAAGAAGGGCGAAAGAGTCTCTCCGGTGCAATGTGGCGAACTACACGAACTAGGCGTGAGATGAAGCGAGATTGGCACTCCACTATCTTCTCCAGCTTGTTAACACGGTCTAGAGCTTGGTGCGGCCATGCCAGTAGTGAGAACATGGCGTTCTTGGTGGCGGCGTTGAGTCTTGACTGCATGCTGAAGTGTGCGATAGGTGAGCATGGGGAATGATGGTTTCTCACTTGATGGAACATAGAAGTCTTCCTCTTGGGCTGGAAAGTGACAACACCTGAGCGTAGGCTTGGGATGTCTTCATGTGGCAGCAAGACAAGGGAAGTGTTGGCTGGACCAATTGGAAACTCATAGCAAAACCGAGTTGGGTCTTTAGTCCAACGGTTTAGGAAGTGGATTGCTGAAGAGCATGGAGATCCAAAGGGGTTGGCTTGGGTAGTGGCTCATAGTTGGGAATGTCAATCCCCACATGTTGCACTATGGCCGTGATAAGCCTCCCAAAACGAACACAAAGCTTCTTGTTGCCTTCCAAGTCTTGAGCTAGCTTCCTCACATTGATGAATGTCTTGGCAAGTAAAAGCCAAGGTTGGCCTTGTACTCATGCTTGATGAATGGTGTGGTGAGGATGTAGAACTCATCAGTTGTGACCTTGTTGGCTTCTTGTTTGCATTGGAAAGTGGTGGAGATGAGGCGGTGCACATAGCGAATGGCTGGATGAGTGATTCTAGACACCTTTGATCTTGAAGGCAAGAATGGTTCATTGGCAAAGTGTGTCCAATCAGCAAAGGCAGCTTGTTTCCTCTTTGAGTTCTCCTTGAAGTCATGTGCTGTCTCATTGGGAAGTCCAAAGAGTTGGCATAGAGCTGAGATGGAGATGCGCCCATTGGCATCGCCTATCTTGAAGAGTAGGAGTCCATCACCAGCTGGTTGGTCTCCATTGTGGTTGGGAAAGGCAAGAGCTACTGTGGAGAGGAACTCCTTGGTTAGTGAGTACTCACTGCACTCTAGCTTGAAGAGCTTGCTCAAGCCTAGCTTCCTTATGTACCATGTGACATCATCTCTTATCTTGAGAAGGTCAAGGGTTGGGTGTCCATCTTCACACAAGGTTCGATGTTCACCTTCTCCATTGCCTTCTTACACTTTCTTGGGTCTTGGATTTGTTCTCCAACAAAGCTTACAAGTGCCCAATCTTCTTCTCTTCTTGGACTCTCCACATGTTCTTGACTTGCATCAATGGAATGTGGTGAAGTTGGTATTGCTGCTCTTGCATTGGAGCTACTACTCCCTAGCTTGATTTGTTTCTTTGGTGGTTCCATGAATGGGATCTTCTTCTTCTTCATACTTCATTTCCTTTTGTCTTTGCCATTGGGTACCTACAAGAGCAAATTCTTGGGAAGAGACATGAGTTTGTGATTAATGCAAAAGAAAGATAAGCTAATTGAGTTGTAATAATGATATGGAATAATGGAACAACTCAAGGCTTAATCATGAATCAAAGAAACAAAATGGAAATTTCACTTTTTCAAAGTTAATTTTCGGATTTTACTGTTCATCTCAAGATTATGGTGCTTAAAATCGAAATTTTTAGCAAATCAAGAGAAATTGAGTTTCTAATCCAAGTAATCACTAGATAAACTAATGAATTGAAGTATGCCTAAGCAATTTCACCTTTGAATAAGGGGTTTGGAATGCCCAATAAGTTTTGTGAAAAACTATTCAATTGTGAAATTAAACTTCTAAATAACTCTAAACCACCTAGGTTCCACCTAGCTAAGTTCATTACAAGACTAATAAGATGCAATTTCAAGTTTAGACAAGAGTTTAGACCAAACAAGAAACTTATTGAAATTTCGATCTTGCATAAACATGGATTAGAGTTAGAAGACATACCTTGTGTATTGAAAAGTGAATAATGGTTGCAAGAGCAAGTAAATTCCAATTTAGAGTTATGAACAGTAAAAGTTTTGAAATCAAAGCTCTTAGAGTTCCTCTAATGGAGTTTAGGGTTTTGGAGAAGAAAGAGAGGTTCTTTGTTTTCAAGGGAAAGGTAAAGTATAAAGATCAATCCTATAATTTTCCTTTTCAAATTCGAATTTTGATTGAAAACCGGTTTAAGTTGGTTTAGGATTGGTTAAAACCGGTTTGAATTAATGAAAAGGGGACTTACCTTGGCCGAGAAAAGTTTGGGCCGATGGCCGATGGATTTGTCGCGGTCGTGCGATTTGGTCGGCCAAATCCTGCGTATGGACGAGAAATTCGGCCGAGGCCGAACGTTTGCTTCCCGGATCGACCGTAACGGTACGTGATTCCGGCCGAGCGCGGCCTGTTTCCTTCCTGTCCATGCGTTCCACGCGGACAGTTTCTGTCGCGCTAAGTTCGTCTGGCCGAGCGAGAGCTGTTCCTTCCCGAGAGTCATAATATCCGATTGTTTGGGTGCCTGCTTGAGGTTGCACATTGATGTCCCCAGCAGGGTCTTGTGGATTAGGAGGAGGAGGAGGTGGATCTCGTCCTTCTTCATTAGCTTGCGCCACTTCAGCGGCATGAGCGCGAGCTGCTTCGTCGGCCATCTCTTGGGCTTTTTGCTTCCTAATTAACTTCTCGAGCTGTCTATATCTGGATGTTCAACTAGGTTGTCTTTGTTGGACCTCCTAGTCATGCACCTGAAAAGAATCTAGGAAACAAACTAAATCAAAAAGGAAAAACAAATGCAAAAGCAAAAATCAAAGAAAAAGAAACCAAAAACTAGAAATTCAAAAGCAAAAACAAGCAAAACAAGTAAAAATTCTAGACTAGATCCTAATCGAGCTTCAAAGGTACTGCTGCAGTCCCCGGCAACGGCGCCAAAAACTTGATGTTGAGTCAGGTTTTACCAAACTCTTAGACCTCTGCAAGTGCACAGATCGCGGAAGTATGGGTATCGAACACAAGGACTGGCTATTGAGTACACTTTGAAACTATGGATTTTGGATCAAGCTAAAACAAAAGTATGGTTTGAGGTTGTAATGGTGAACAGAACTAGCAAGTAAACGAGGTTGTAAATCAATAAGGAAGAAGCGCTAGGTCAACAGGGGCTAATCGCAGAGAAGCAAGCAATGATCAATGAAACAATGATAGATGAATTGATTAGGGATGTTGGGATATTAAGAACCGTCTAGAACACAGATCACGAATATAAAACCATTCCACTTTCGAGGCTCCGGCTCCTTTGTTAATCTACCTAGTCGCTAAACTTTTGGTATGTCCCTAGGTGATTAAATCAAGCTTTAGAATGAATAGGTTCTGATACAGTTCACTAGATTATAGTAGATCAACTTTCGCAGTCTAAGAAACCTAGCTTGCCAAAGAATATGTCCGGCGAATGATACAACACTGTCGAGGCTCAAATCAACCTAAGATCGGATTACTAGATGCACGGTAAAGCAATCAGCATCAGTTAAGTGCAAAAGACGAGACAAACACTCTATGATAATCCCTAGCTAAACATCGAAATCAAAGATAATGCAAACATCGAAATCGGACGGTAGGTCGGGACGATTGGCCGGATGATCGGGTCATGGCCGCTCTTAGTACAATCGGAACGGTCGTAGCCTGACGGATTCGTGGTCGGCCGCTGTGGTCGGACGGGTGAAGGATTGGCCGATGTTTTCTCGGCCGGACACGGGACGTGGCTTCCCGGCTCGGACGGCGCCATCGGCCGTGGTACGTGAGATAGGTCGCGCAGCCGCAAGGCGTTGCTTCCCGGCTCGCGCGGCATGGCATTGAGTGGTCGTGGCTTGGCCGACCGCGGGACATTGCTTCCCGGGTCGTGATGCGTACTCGGACGGATGTGTTTGAACTTTGGCCGAGACTTCAGACGGATGGATTTGATTTGGCCGATCGCGAAACATTCGTTTCTCGGCCGGCCGCTATGCACGGCTTGGCCACGGTTTTTCGATAGAACCACCTGGACAGTCTTCACTCTTTTGGTTGTAACTCCTTTTCTACTCATCCAAATGAGGCCATTCCAGTTGCGTTGGAAAGTTAACTCACTCAGAGCACGCAGGGAACTGGTCTTCATGAAATCCATTGAGTAGATCTTTTTCTGGGCCCTCTTAAAGTTGATGCTTGTGTATGGCGGCTTGAAGCGCAAATCCTATGGTTTTGCTCCAAAATGCATCATTTCACCTGTTTAGACTCTAGACACTATAAACACAGTAAAACTACCTTTTTAGATAGAAAACCTGCCAAAAACCATTAGAAAACAATACTAAAATAGTATAAAAAGTATGTAAAATAGAGGTATATCACTTTCTCGTTTTCTTTTTACAAAGAGAGAAAAAAATGTTTTCTTAGTTTCTCCTCACTTCTACATCTCTTGCTCATTCTCTAGGCTCTATTTTTACCTTCTTCTTCTTTGTAATATCTTATTCTGAAAAAAAAAGGAAAGAAAAAGGCCATTGAATCTTTGTGATCTTCTTTTCAACACCATCTCTTTCTTACACCTCTAGCTTTCAGCACATCTCCCTCTATTGTCTTCCGAAGACCATGTCTACATTTTTAGCGCCATCACCACACACGTTCTCTTTCTTCATTACCGAGAGATCTCCACTCCATCATTTACGTATTATGTGAAGCTCATATGTCAACCTCATTCCGTTATTTATGTTGAAGCCCATAAGTATTATTGTCAAATACTGTATATTTATTATATGGAGATATTTACATATTTGTGTCTATCTAGTTTAGAAATCTCTTTGGTATATAATTATGTAACGTGATCATTATTCTCCTCATGAGATTCAATACAATACTTCTTCCAATCATAAACTCTCATCATCTAACAAGACCGTGCCTCAAGGATCAGGTATACGTTTGTGTCCTGTAAGTCTCTGAGATCAGCCCAGATGGCCGCTTATTGGTTACAGGGGATGTCGACTCGTCTTGACAGAGCATCCGCTGCTAAGTTTGTTGAATCGGGGTTGTACGTTATTTCTTAGTTGTATCCCATGAGCTTCCCATTCACTTGGTACATGAGAAATCATAGACTTTTGTGATCTCTGTGGATTTTGAATCATTGCTCGACCGCTTACTAAAGTCGATGAATCCTTCTAAGGCAATGATTCTTTTTGGAGAAGGCCAACTCGTCTAAGTCTGAATCTTTGTTTGATCGACCTTAACGCCTGCACCAGATATGATGTGGTCCAAGTATTCAAGCTCTGTTTTCCCAAACTTACACTTCTTCCTCTTCACAAAGAGAACAACGTTTCGCAAGATCTCCAAGACGATGGTCATATGCTTCAAGTGTTCCTAATCTGATTTGCTGTAAACCAGAATATCATCAAAAAAGACCCAAACGAATTTGCGCAGATACGAGCGGAAGATGGAATTAATCAAGGACTGAAAAGTGGATGGCGTGTCTGCATGACCAGGTACTCATAATGGCTGTTATGAGTACGGAATGTCGTCTTTGGAATATAACTTCTTGAACTTTGACTAGGTGATAACCGGCAGTCAAGTCGAGCTTGGTAAAGATGACCGCACCGTGGAGCTCGTCAGGCATATCTATCGTCCACTGTTGAAATTGGGAAACATTCCTTCATTGTCGCCGCATTGAGAACGTGATAATCTGTACAAAATTGCCACGACCTGTCCTTTTCCTTGACTAAGACCACCGGAGATGAGAATGGACTCGAACTTAGTCTGACTAACCCGTGTCGAGCATCTGCTCGTTTGTACCCGTGTCGAGCATCTTCTGAAAATGAGCGTATTGATAGGGTCACACATTGACAGGGTCGACTCCTTCCTTGAGAGTAATGGGTTACTCAATCTCGCAATTTGGCGGTAGCTCCGGTGATACTGAAAAATCGCATCGAACTGTTGGAGGATTCAACGGATTTCATCTGAAATCGGGGAGGCTGCGGTTTACCGCTGTGGATAGAAAGGGAAAACACGGCATGACCATCTTGTGCTTCAAGTTAAATTTCCTCCGATTGGGCTTGTTTGGTGTGATCACTTTGAAACCCGCAAAAGATTATTGTTTCCCCAACCTATTCGAATGACTCTAACGATCGCCAATCACAAAAAATAGGCCAAAGTGTTTCTAGCTCCTTCCAAAGTTGATGCAGTGGCATTGGACTGGTTTGAAGTCCAAATCCTCTGTTTTGCTCCATAATGCACCTTTTTACCTAAAATGACTCTTTGCAGTATAAATCCATAAAAACTACCTTTTAACACAAGAATCCACTAGAAAACCATTAGAAAACCATAGTAAAATAGCATAAAAAGCATGTAAAATAGAGGTATATCAACTCCCCCAGACTTAGATCTTTGCTTGTCCCCAAGCAAAAGAATCTAAACTAGTGAAGAGGTTTTGAAAACGTGGAACTCCCTTGCTTCTTTGAAAATCCTGTGAAAGGTTCCTTTCCTGTATTCCACTAAGAACATAGCAACATAAGGTTAGCTTCACATACACCCTGCAAGTTTAGCGAACAATACCAACCCAACTAGTCTCATCCAGCAATCCAAACTCTCTATTGCTAACCTCTTGCATAAATTTAAAGCGTGAGTTCTTTATCAAGGGAAATCGATCAATTGAACTTGTTCTTACCCACTTGATCTTCTCCAAGATTGTCTTTGAAGTGCAATGAGTTCTTTTCCTCTCTCTTTCTCACATCAGAACTTTGAAAGGTCAATTTCTCCCTACTTTTCTAGGGTATCATTTTATTTTTTCTATTGACCTTCTTTCAACCACAGGATAAGTCTTTAGCTTGTTCCTTGTTTGATAAGGTATTCCATAAGACATGAAGGTACAGACATATGCATTCCTCATGCTTACTTGTTTTCCTTGTGCTCTTTGAGCTTTTCTCATAAACATTACTTACCATTTGGGATGGGAGAGAGAGGAGAACTCTTTTTAGACAAATCTTATTGAAAATCAAGCAAGGAACTGTCGACATGTATGCCAATCCCCTTGACAAGAGTTATTAAGATTGATTAAGGGTGAGGTTAACTCTAGATTGCTTGGTTACCTTAGAAATTTCGCTGAGCTAGCATGCCGATCCACTGTAGGAGCTTCTGTTAGGCTTGTGCCTTCAGCTGATGTCTGCTCTAGGGTCATAGATTGTTAGCATAACACTATCAAATCTCAAAGCAAGTTCATAGTTTCCGGACTGGTTTTGACTCAATAAAACAGAAGTTTTGAAAAAGTGGGTAAGGAAAAACCAATTATAAGATAAAACAACCATGAACAAACACATTAGTACCGACAATCCCCCCAGACTTAACTTGCACCGTCCCGGTGAAAGAAAATCCAATTAAGGGAGTTAAAGAAAGAGGTAATAAAGTGGTTGTGAATGTAAAAAGAAAGATGTAACCTGATTTGTGTTACTTGAAGAATGGTGTATGCAGTGGAATGATGGTAGTGTATGGAATGCAAGTGTGGTGAGGTGGGATGGGTGAGATGCAGATGGAATGAGATGGGATGGTGTGTTGGGCGCTTGAGAGGACATGGGCGAGCGTGGAGAGGTTCTGCTCGGCCATCAAGTCGCGCCAACTATGACATTCTTCTTGTGGTATATCTTCTTTACCATTGTGTGGTTCTTAGATATCCAAACTCAAAACAAAACTAGACATTAACTAAAACTAATTGAAAAGAAAAGTAAGAAAAACACCTTTCATGGGTTGCCTCCCATGCAGCGCTTTTTTGAGTCATTAGCTTGACTGATAGGATCTCTTAGTTGGAGATGGGGTAAGGGCACGGCCTGAGACATAGTCTTTTAGTTCTTGTCTCATTGTGACCTTGAGTGTGGTCTGGTGGTTCTCTTGGGCGGCCTTGGGCAGTGATGAGTAAGACAGCTTGTTTGGTGAGATGAATGGTATGGTCTTGTAAAAGACTGTCTTGTCAACATTGGCTAAGGACATTCGCCTGTTTGGAAGGTCCATGACAGCTCCAGCAGTGGCCAAAAAGGGTCGGCCTAGTATCAATGGTGTGTCACATCCTCCTTTGATGTTCATGACATGAAAGTCCACCGGGATCTTGATATCTCCAATCTCTAGAAGAACATCAATAACAACTCCTCTTGGCTTGGCTATAGTATGGTTAGCAAGTCCAATACTAATTTGAGCAGGTTGCAAGCGTGTGATGCCAAGGAGTTTGGCGGTTTGGGTTGGCATGAGGTTTATGCAAGAGCCAGAATCGCATAGTGTTCTATCAAAGTAATGACCATTTACTTGACAGGGAATAGAGAATTGACCTGGGTCTTCAATCTTGTAGAGGGTCTTGAAGGTAGGCTGAACTTTAGCTTTCTCAAAAAGCTCTTTGATGTCCTGAGGTGTCTCTCTGCAGTTGTGGAAGAAGGTGGTGAATGGGTAGTGGCGCCAAGCTTGTTGGAAGACATGCTGGCTGGAAGAGTTTGGACAAACTGATTGAACTCAGCAAGCTTCTCTCTTGATATGGAATTGACATACCATTCAGGTGGTGGTGTGATGGTGGTGATGATGGTTGATTGACTGCATGAGGGGCATGGGAAATCGTGCCTTCTGAAAAAGTTGTGTACTTCTTCTTTGGTTTCACTAGTTGTGAAAAAGAACTCCACTAGATCATGCTTATCCCAAGCTTCTTCAAAAGTGACATAGAATGGAAGTGATTTCACCTTAGCATTGAACTCTTTAAGCTTCATGGGGCTTATCTTGTTGGGATCAATGGGATCATATGCCAAGTATCTTCTTCTTCAGTAGGTGGTGATGGTCTTTGCATTGCTTCCAATCTTGGAAGTTCAGAAGCTTGACTTCGTGGTGTTGGTGAGAAACGAGGGTCAACAGGGCTAGGTGTATCCTTGCTCTGTTTTGGAGAAGCATTGATGTCGATGCTCTGCTCTTCATCTTCATCATTAGTTGTTCCTCATACTCTCTTTCTTCTTCTTCATTGTCCTCATGGACTTGGTGAGTGCTTCTTCTTGTGATGGCATTGCAATAAAAGGGAGGGTGGTTGGGTGTTGGACTCCTCTCTCTCTTGTACTTGGAGAGATGATCCTTCAAGGGCTTGTAGGCGGTTGTAGATGATCCAAGATGCTTGCTATTGCCATAGCTAGTATCTTCAATTCTCATGCTCTTGTTCAGCAACTCTTGATATTTGGCAGCAACATCAAGCTTAACTAGGTTAGAGATCGATCATGATCCTCTCTTAACTTCTTAATGTCTTCATCAAGCTTGATCACTTGCTTGAATAGGACTTCAGATTTGTTTCCAAGACTCTCATGGATGAAATCGATTCTCCTCTCCATCTTCTTTGTACTCTCATCTTGATTTCTCAAGTACTCTTGAAGCATCTCTTCAATCTTGGTTTGGCGCGCAGCTTGTGAAGCTCTCCTTGGGAAAAGTGGTGTCTTGATTTATGTCTGGTGATGATGGATGGTGTTGTGAATAGCTTGGGCGTGGTGGTGGAACATAAATGGACCTTAGCAAATCTGTAAGGAAAGCTTCCTTTGTATCCATTCCAAGTCTTGAAAGCATGTTGGGCATTGAACTTAGCCCATTCTTTGGCTTGTCCAGCTAGATAGTTGGAAAAGTTGTATCTTCTTGGGGTTGTCTCCAAGTCCATAGTAGTGGCAAAGCTGCTCAAAGTTGCATAGATGCTCCTTTGCACACTCTGAAGTAGAATTGTAGAAAGGGTTCTCTCCACATGCTTGATTAGCTCTTCATTCAGACTTCAGGATGGGGTGGTATGCCTCCCCATTCTTCTTCATCACGCTCTCTTCCAGCTGATGAGAGTAGTGGTTGTACTTGGACTTGAAAGGTGGCCTTGCAAATCTCTTCAAGAAAGCTTCTCTAAAATCGATCCATGACTCGATTGTAGAAGTGGCTCATGCTGCGCCCAATCTAGTGCTGGTCCAGCTAGTGATGTGCTGAATAGCATCATCTTCTTCTCAAAGTCAAAAACTCCATAGGAATCACAAAGATTATCAAAGTGATCTATGTGCTCCAGCGCATACTCTGAAAACAGATCATGGAATTGATCTCTCTTCACGAACTCGATCAGTTCAGGGTCAATCTCCTCTTCTGGTGTGGCTAGAAGGTGTTCTTCTCTGTAAGATGCGGCTTGGCTAGACGTCTCCAGGTCGGCTGCTTCAAGGTAGGGAAGAAGTTTCTTCTTGTCTTCAAGGAGATAGTTTTGGAGGACTATCCCAAGAAGGTGGTGGTGCTTGAGGGCTTGACATCTCTTGTTCGTCAAGAGGTCTCTTTGAGGTGGTATGTGGCGAAGTGGATCGCCTTTATAGGGCAAGGACTTGTGAATCCTTCTCCATATCTAACTAGGAAAACCTGAAAAGCTCAAAAACAAAAAGGAAAAACGAAATCAAAAGAAAAAGGAAAAATAACAAAAACTAAAAAGGAAAAGAAAACCCTAGACTAGCTCTCTTGCAAGAGCTTGTAGGTGCGAATTGGTCCCCGGCAACGGCGCCAAAAACTTGATCGCGGGATCAGGTCTTCCCTTTCCTATCCCTGATTCTGCAAGTGCACAGGTCAGAAGTAGTAAACGGGTATCGAACACGAGGACCAGATTGCACACTACAAACTATGAGATTGAGATCGAGCTAGGGCAAAAGTATAAGTTGGTTGAGTGCAGAGAAAGTAAAGCATGCAAGTAAAAAGAAAGATTGAATTCAATAGGAGAGAGGGCTAAGCAATAGGATAGTCTTAAGATAAGCAATTCATGAAGCAATGAAATCAATCAATTAGGGTTACTGCAATTAGGTGCCTAATCTAGAACTTGAAACACTATGGTATGATCATTCCACTGTCGAGGCTCCGACCCCTTTGTTAATCTACCTAGTCGCTAAACTTTTGGTATGTCCCTAGGTGATTAAATCAAGCATTAGTTCGATAAGTTCAATTGTTCACAACCTACAAGTAAATCAACTTTCGCAGTCTAAAAGAGGTTGCCCACCAAATACTAGTTCAGGCGAATGATACAGCACTGTCGAGGCTCAAATCAACCTAAGCATATGCTAATTGGCCAGATTAACAACAAGCATTAAGTATAAGCAAAGATGGAGATTATAAGTAAAACCCTAATTGTGATCAATCATCAAGCATACATGAATGCTATCCTTTGACTTCCTATCACTTAACAAGTAAACTACTCAGACATAGAGAAGGAACACGAATTCATATTCATAAGAACAGAGATTCGAATCCTCTCTTATGAATATGAAGCAAGGTTTAGGGTCGATCGTAACGGTCGTGGCCGGAAGAATTCGTGGTCGGCTGCTGTGGTCGGACGGGTGAAGGATTGGTCAATGTTTCTTGACCGGACGCGAGGCGTGGCTTTCCGGCTTGGACGGCGCCATCGGCCGTAGTACGTGAGTTAGGTCGCGCGGCAGCAAGGCGTTGCTTCCCGGCTCGCACGGCATGGTCGTGCGCGGCATCGTCTTGAGTGGTTGTGGCTTGGCCGACCGCGGGACATTGCTTCCCGGGTCGTGATGTGTACTCGGCCGGAGCTTGGACGGATAGTTTGGACTTTGGCCGACCGCGAAACATTATTCCTCGGCCGGCCGCTCTGCACGGCTTGGCCGCGGTTTCTCGATAGAGCGGCCTGGACAGTCTCATCTATTTTGGTTATAACTCCTTTTCTACTCATCCAAATGAGGCCGTTTCACTTGCGTTGGAAAGTTAACTCAATCAGAGCACGCAGGGAACTGGTCTTGATGAAATCCATTGAGTAGATCTTTTTTTAGCTCCTTCCAAAGTTGATGCAGTGGCATTGGACTGGTTTGAAGTCCAAATCCTCTGTTTTGCTCCATAATGCACCTTTTTACCTAAAATGACTCTTTGCAGTATAAATCCATAAAAACTACCTTTTAACACAAGAATCCACTAGAAAACCATTCGAAAACCATAGTAAAATAGCATAAAAAGCATGTAAAATAGAGGTATATCAGAAGCCAACAAAGTCACAACAATGAGTTCTACATCCTCACCACGCCATTAATCAAGCATGAACACAAGGCCAACCTTGGTCTTTTGTTTGGAAAGACACTCATCAATGTGAGGCATCTAGCTCAAGACTTGGAAAGCAACAAGAAGCTTTGTGTGCGATTTGGGAGACTCAACACAGCCATAGTGCAACATGTGGGAATCACCATTCCCAACTATGAGCCACTGCCCAACCCAATCCCTTTGGATCTCCATGACCTTCAGCAAATTCACTTCCTCAACCGTTGGACTCAAAACCCAACCAAGTTTTGCTATGAGTTCCCAATTGGACCAACCAACACTTCGCTTGTCTTGCTGCCACATGAGGACATCCCAAGCCTACGATCAGGTTTTGTCACTTTCCAGCCCAAGGAGGAAGACTTCTACATCCCATTAAGAGAGAAACCATCACTCCCCATCCTCACATATCGCACACTTCAGCGCACAGTCAAAGCTCAGCGCCGCCAATAAGAACGCCATGTTCTCAGCACTGGAATAGCAGTTAATCAAGCCCTAGACCGTGTGAGCAAGCTGGAGAAGATTGTGGAGTGCCAATCATGTTTCATCTCAGGCCTTGTTTGTGTAGTCCGCCACATTGCACCGGAGAGACTCTTTCGCCCTTCTCTCACTGCTAGAGAACCATATGAGCCTGACCTTGGTGAGTTCTCACTAGACTCAGAGCTTGGTTCAGAAGGCGATGGCCCCATAGAAGAGGAAGAGAGTTCTTCTCACCGCCACACATAGTCATCTCAAGTGGTACTTAGTGCAATGGACACTTATAAATCTCCATTTTCTATCCTTATCTCATTTTAATGAATTTCCTTTTATTTTCTTTTACTTTGAATATTACCTCTCAATCTTAATGTGATTTGCTTTCTGATCGCGGGATCAGGTCTTCCCTTTTCCTATCCCTGATTTTGCAAGTGCACAGGTCAGAAATAGTAAACGGGTATCGAACACGAGGACCAGATTGCACACTACAAACTATGAGACTGAGATCTAGCTAGGGAAAAAAGTATGAGATTGATTGAGTGTAGTGAAAGTAAAGGCATGCAAGTAAAGTAAGCAAGTAAAGAAAGTTGAAATCAATAGGAGATGAGGGCTAAGCAATAGGATAGTTAAGATAAGCAATTCATGAAGCAAGAATCAATCGATTAGGGTTATTGTAATTAAGTGGCATCTAGAACTCCAAACACTATGGTATGATCTTTCCACTTTCGTGGCTCCGACCCCTTTGTTAACCTCCCTAGTCGCTAAACTTTTGGTATGTCCCTAGGTGATTAAATCAAGCATTAGTTCGATTAAGTTCAATTGTTCACAACCTACAAGTAAATCAACTTTCGCAGTCTAAAAGAGGTTGCCCACCAAATACTAGTTCAGGCGAATGATACAGCACTTTCGAGGCTCAAATCAACCTTATATCATATGCTTATTGGCCAGATTAACAACAAGCATTAAGTATAAGCAAAGATGAAGATTATAAGTAAAACCCTAATTCATGTGATCAATCATCAAGCATACATGAATGCCATCCTTTGACTTCCTATCACTTAACAAGTAAACTACTCAGGCATAGGATGTACTTGCATTTTACATAGTTTTAGTACATCTTTTATGCATCTTTTGCATAGTTTTAGCATCCATTTAGCATCATATCTTGTTCCTTTTCTCTTCTTATGCATTCATAGTAGTTTTAGGTTGCATTTGCATACATATGCATGTTTGGTCCTTTGAAATAGGTCTTTTGGAGCATTCTGGAGCATATGGGACGAGGAGCATGGAGGACTTGGTGCATGGACGCAGCTCAACTGGATACGCAAAGGAAGAAGGAGGAAGCCATCTTGAAGACCAGCTCGACCACCTACTCGACCAACCGGTCGAGTTCCTCAACTCGACCGGCCAAGCTTCAACTCGATCGAGCTGAGAAGTCAACAGTCAAACCCGAAAAATGTTGCTTCCCCCTTGACTTTCCTTTGACCCTAAACCTAATCCTCTTGTATTTAAAGGCTCTAAGCCACGAAAAAACCACCAAGCTTTAGATTATTTTGTTTTAGCTTTCTTTTAATTTATTGTCTTTTACTTTTTAGAACTCTAATCCCATCTTTGTGTTCTTGAAGCTCTTGCTTCTTGAATCCTAGATCCTGGATTAATCTCTTTGTATTTGCACTTGCTTATTTCAATAAAAGTTGTTTATCTTTATCTCCTCTTTCTTATGATGTCTCTTTTCATTGCATTTGCTTGTGTTTACATTCATGTGTAGTGAGTAGTTACCCATTAGGGTTTGAGATGGGATAGATTAGAGGTTTCATATGCTTAATCCTTCTTGCTTATGGTCTTAATCTAGATTCTCTCTCTTTTGGATAATCTTAAGGCTACATGACCACTACCCCTGGCTTGTATGTCCTTAGGCGATTCTCCACATGGAAGTGATGGAAATCGCTGGAAAAATCCACTAAGAGCTCCAAAACTCTTGCTCTAGAAATGGAGTCTAAGGGGTTGGATGGATTAGTTTGGGCAATGATCCTATGGCCTCCAAGGTTTGATTCTCACTGGCTAACCCCCTGTTTCTGAGATCATTCCTTGGTTGATAGCCTTCACCTTGGGAAAGGGTTGGCTAGGCATTGAGAAGCCCAATATCAAGAGAAGCCTTGATACAAGGAGTTTTAAGAGCAGATTGATTAAGTGTAGCTTCCCTGATTGCAAAACCCTGTCTTGAACCCTAATTCTCGCATTAGCTTGTTAAAGTCGCTGCCTTTATTGCTTTTTTTCAACTCGACCCTAAACTCGATCGAGCTGGTACTCTGTTCCTACTCGACTCGAGTCCTTGGTCGAGCTGCTTGCTTTACTGTTTTCATTTAGGTTGTTAGTGTTACCACCTATCATTTACTGCTTGCTTGACTTCCTGGTTGTTTCATATTCTCATAGAGTGACAATTTCCCATTTTGGATTGATAACCCTTATACTATAATGACTATGATGGTTAAAGGGAATTGTTGACTGTGTTTGTGTTTGCATCTTACCACCTCATCATATACCACTGTTGCATTCCACCACATTTCATTCATATCTTTCACACCCACACACAAATCCTATCATAAGCATAGAGAAGGAAAACAAATCCATATTCATAAGAACAGAGATTCGAATCATCTCTAGAAAGAGAACAAGCAAGAACAAAGTAAAATCAAGCAAAACTTTATTATAGATGTAAAGTAAATTGTGGTCTCCCTCCTTCTTGAGTTAGAAGGCTAAAAAGAAGTATTTATAATGCTCTAAGTATAGAAAAGCGGCTAGACCTAGATCTAGTAAGTCCGCGCTGACATTGGGCTTGAAACGTGTGAAACGGGCTTTAAAAATGGCTTCGGGTCGACCGTACCGTTCGGACGGTCGATCGGGACGTTTGGCCAGCTGTCGAGTCGTAGTCGGATATCGGCACGGTCGGGTCGATCGTGGCCGAGAGTTTTCGCGTTTGTTCGTCGGGTTCGGCCGGGTGGATAGATTGGCCGAAGTTTTTGGGCAGGACGTGGGACGAGGCCTTCCTTGTCGGACGGTGAGATCGGCCGCGGAACGTGAGTTGTGCCGCGCGGCCGCAAGGCGTTGCCTTCCTGTTCGCGCGGTATGGTCGTGGCTTGTGATTATGGTTTGGCCGACCGCGGACGATGCTTCCCGGATCGGTACGTGGGCTCGGCCGTGGACTTGGCAGGACGTACGAATGTTTGGATGTTGGCCGACCGCGGGACGGATGTTCCTCGGCCAGCTGTTCCGCTCGTTCGGCCGCGGTTTCTCGATAGAGCCGCCTAGACCAGTCTTTGCTATTTTGACCATAACTCATTTTCTACTCATCCAAATGATGCCAATCCAATTGCGTTGGAGAGTTAACTCACTCAGAGCACGCGGGGAACTGGTCTTGATGAAATCCATTGAGTAGATCTTTTTTTGGGCCCTCTTAAAGTTGATGTTGTGACAGTGGAGCTGGTTTGAAGTCCAAATCCTCTGGTTTTGCTCCAAAATGCATCTTTTGACTTATGACTCTAGCACTAAAATCCATAAAACTACCTTTTAGATAGAAAAACTGCCAAAAACCATTAGAAAACCATAGTAAAATAGTATAAAAAGGCATGTAAATAGAGGTATATCAACTCCCCCAGACTTAGATCTTTGCTTGTCCCCAAGCAAACAGAATCTAAACTAGTGAAAGAGGTTTGAAAACGTGGAAACTCCCTTGCTCCTTTGAATATCCTGTGAAGGGTTCCATTTTCCTGTATTCCACTAAGAACATAGGCAACATAAGGTTAGCTTCACATACACCCTGCAAGTTTAGCGAACAATACCAACTCAACTAGTCTCATCCAGCAATCCAAACTCTCTATTGCTAACCTCTTGCATAAAATAAAGCGTGAGTTCTTTATCAAGGGAATATCGATCATTAAGACTTGTTCTTACCTACTTGACCTTCTCCAAGATTGTCTTTGAAGTGCATTGAGTTCTTTTCCTCTCTCTTTCTCACATCCAGAACTTTGAAAGGTCGATTTCTCCCTACTTTTCTAGGGTATCATTTTATTTTTTCTATCGACCCATCTATCAACACAGGATAAGTCTTTAGCTTGTTCCTTGTTTGATAAGGTATTCCATAAGACATGAAGGTACAGACATATGCATTCCTCATGCTTACTTGTTTTCCTTGTGCTCTTAGAGCTTTTCTCATAAAGTATTTCTTACCTTAGGGATGGGAGAGAGAGGAGAACTGCTTTCAAGGTTAGACAAATCTTATTGAAAATCAAGCAAGGAACTGTCGACATGTATGCCAATCCCCTTGACAAGAGTTATTAAGATTGATTAAGGGTGAGGTTAACTCTAGATTGCTTGGTTACCTTAGAAATTTTGCTGAGCTAGCATGTCGATCCACTGTAAGAGCTTCTGTTAGGCTTGTGCCTTTAGCTGGTTTCTGCTCTAGGGTCATGGATTGTTAGCACAACACTCTCAATTCTCAAAGCAAGTTCATAACTTCCGGACTGGTTTTTGACTCAATAAAACTTTTTGAAAAACATGAAAAAAACATAAGACAAAGAAAAGAAAAATGCATTAGTAACACAATAAAACTCCCCCAGACTTAACTTGCACCGTCCCGGTGAAAGAAAATCACATTAAGGTGAGTTAAGAAAGAGGTAATAGGCGTTGTGAATGTAAAAAGAAAGATGTAACCTGATTTTGTGTATGAATTGAAGAATGGTGTATGCAGTGGAATGATGCAGATGGGATGTGATGGGATGGTGTGTTGGGCGACTTGAGAGGACATGGGCAAGCGTGGAGAGGTTCTGCTCGGCCATCAAGGTCGCGCCAACTATGAACATTCTTCCTTGTGGTATATCATCTTTATCATTGTGTGGTTCTTAGATTCTTGTATCCAAAACTCAAAACAAAACTAGACATTAACTAAAACTAATTGAAAAGAAAATATAAGAAAAACACCTTTCATGGGTTGCCTCCCATGCAGCGCTTGTTTAGAGTCATTAGCTTGACTGATAGGATCTCTTAGTTAGAGATGGGATAAGGGCATGATCTGAGACAAAGTCTTTTGGTGCTTGTCTCATCACGTCCTTGAGTGTGGTCTGGTGGTTCTCTTGGGCGGCCTTGGGCGGTAATGAAGTAGGACAGCTTGTTTGGTGAGATGAAAGGTATGGTGTTGTAAAAAACTGTCTTGTTAACATTGGCTAAAGAGATTCTCGGCTGTTTGGAAGGTCCATGATAGCTCCAGCAGTGGCCAAAAAGGGTTGGCCTAGTATCAAGGGCGTCTCACATCCTCCTTTGATGTTCATGACATGAAAATCCACAGGGATCTTGGTATCTCCAATCTCTAGTAGAACATCAACTACAACTCCTCTTGGCTTGGCTATGGTGTGATTAGCAAGTTGATGATAGGATTTGTGTGTGGGTGTGAAAGATATGAAATGAGATGTGGTGGAATGCAACAGTGGTATATGATGAGGTGGTAAGATGCAAACACAAACACAGTCAACAATTCCCTTTCAGGTCGAGTTGAAGTAAAAAGCAATAAAGGCAGCGACTTTAACAAGCTAAAGAGAAATTAGGGTCAAGACAGGGTTTTGCAATCAGAAGGAATCTATACTTAATCAATCTTGCTCTTAAAACTCCTGTATCAAGGCTTCTCTTGATATTGGCTTCTCAATGCCTAGCCAACCCTTTCCCAAGGTGAGGCTATCAACCAAGGAATGATCTCAGAAACAGGGGGTTAGCCAGTGAGAATCAAACCTTGGAGGCCATAGGATCATTGCCCAAACTAATCCATCCAACCCCTTAGACCTCTATTTCTAGAGCAAGAGATATTGGAGCTCTTAGTGGATCTTTTCCAGCGAATGCCATCACTTCCATGTGGAGAATCGCCTAAGGACATACAAGCCAGGGGTAGTGGTCATGTAGCCTTAAGATTATCCAAAAGAGAGAGAATCTAGATTAAGACCATAAGCTAGAAGGATTAAGCATATGAAACCTCTAATCTATCCCATCTCAAACCCTAATGGGTAACTACTCACTACACATGAATGTAAACACAAGCAAATGCAATAAAAGAGACATCATAAGAAAGAGGAGATGAAATTAAACAACTTTTATTGAAATAAGCAAGTGCAAATACAAAAGATTATCCAGGATCTAGGATTCAAGAAGCAAGAGCTTCAAGAACACAAAGATGGGATTAGATCTCTAAAAAGTAATAAAAGTAAACAATAAGATTAAAAGAACTAAAACAAAATAATCTAAAGCTTGGTGGTTTTTTCGTGGCTTAGAGCCTTTAAATACAAGAGGATTAGGTTTAGGGTCAAAGGAAAGTCAAGGGGGAAGCAACATTTTTCGGGTTTGACTTTGACTTCTCAGCTCGATCGAGTTGAAGCTTGGCCGGTCGAGTTGAGGAACTCGGGTTGGTCGAGCTGGTCTTCAAGATGGCTTCTCCTTCTTCCTTTGCGTATCCAGTTGAGCTGCGTCCATGCCCAAGTCCCTCCATGCTCCTCATCCCATATGCTCCAGAATGCTCCAAAAGACCTATTTCAAAGGACCAAACATGCATATGTATGCAAATGCAACCTAAAACTACATGAATGCATAAGAAGAGAAAAGGAACAAGATATGATGCTAATGGATGCTAAAACTATGCAAAAGATGCATAAAAGATGTACTAAAACTATGTAAAATGCAAGTACATCAACACCCCCAAACTTGACCTTTGCTTGCCCTCAAGCAAACAAATAGAACAAGAAAGAGATGAGGTTTGAAAACAGCTGATTCAACACTTAAAAACATGTCCTCAAAAGCGATTTGCTAAATGTCCAACTTAGAGATTCTAGAATGCAACAAGGTGAGAGATATTCATTAAGATTTAACCATGCTTATCAACATCAATCCCACTTCACAGTCACTCAAACAATGCATTCAAATCAGCAAATCCCTTTAACATTCATTAAGCAAAAACAGTGAACCAAAAACATGCAAGATCAATCAACTCATTTGGTTTCAAGGGTTTATGGGTTAAGAGACAAAGAGGGTCTCTTTTGTATGGTGGTTTAGTAACAGGGATCTCTCAAGAAAGTGGCTTTGCTTTGGCAGAAGGCTAAGTGTTAGAACCAAAGATGATGCAAGAACAGCAGCTCGAGCCGCCTAATCCTAACTCGATCGAGTTCAACACTTAGAGCTTTTTAGAACAAAATCCTAACTACCCTTTTTGGCATTTCGCCTTTGAAACTGAGGAGCTTTGCTCACTTTTCTTTTAAGAACTTCCTAGGGAGAGGCTTCTTGAGGTAACATCTAGCGGTTTGGGATTTTCTAAACACTTAGGGAACTTTTCTTTCTTTTTGACACTTGAGGCTTTGCCTTCTTTTCATTCTACTTAGAACCCTTTTTACTTCCTTTTTTAACTTCCCAAACCTTTACTAGACCCTTTTTAACACTGCCAACTCCCTGGACTTAACTAAACTCTTTTTCCTTTGGGTTTTTCCCAACTTTTACCACTTTTCTGGTTTTTACACCCAACTCGATCGAGCTCGAGTTGGCACCCCCAAACTTAGCCTGAAAACAATCCCAAGAGAACTAGACAACTAGAACTACTGCCCCTGCCGGTTTAAACACAACACCTTATGCTAAGCAAAGCCAAGAAAGGTTCTCACATTCGCACAAGAGATAATATGGGGTTTGAAATGAAAAAGGCTTAGGTTTAAGGT